CGTCACCCGACACAGGCAGACACCCGCACAAGCACAGCAATATCACCACAGACCGAGCGCGGTCATAACCGAGCACCGAAAGCCCCCGAAGGCCGCTTTCAGCGCTGTCCCGGCCGCATAACAAGCCGGGGTTTCCAATAACTTTCGGCCGGCTCAAGCTAGGGCTGCCCGGACGGAGTCGGCCAGGACTCGGTCCGACAAAAGTTGGCCGGCTGGCTGGCCCGGTCGGCCGGTGCCGCTGGGCAGATGAGCTCTGATGCCGACACGCCGGCCTGCCACCTGACGCGCGCTCCACTGGCTGTGCAGCCCCGCCCCAGTACTCCCCTCGCCGGCCGCGGGGGACGCCGGCCGTCCGCGCGTCAGTCGCGCCGCCGCTCACCTGACGTTCTCGTGCCGCTGGATGTAGATCTTGTGGAACTGCCGCTCCACCGGCGACACGATGTCCTCCTTCATCTCCATCGCCACGTGCTCGGGGAGCACGGACAGCAGAAGCCGCTCCTGCGGCGACGGAAGCGGCGGGTCAGGCGGGCTCTCCCTCCGGCCGGACCGCCGTCGCCCCGGGCGCCAGTCGATAATGTGTTGATGCCGTGGCGATCGGCCCGGTCCTAGAGCGCTGGGGCTAGAAATCCCAACAAATGGCGGAAGAATCGAATTGGGCTAACCGAAGAATCGAACTGGGTTCCTAAGCCAACTTTTTTTATTCGATCTTCGATCGTAACGACTCAGTTCACATACCAGTTGCTCAAGCGTCCGGCTTTTCTCCTCTATTTGAAACTATATTTGGTTCTACAGAGAAAAGCGTCATAACAACTGGCCTTTTAAAAATGGCAGCATGCAGTTTAGATCCATAACTTGCCCCTCGGGTAATGGTGCGATAACAGTAGTTACGAGATCGGCAAAATAACCGAACCCTAACGATGAGCCTTGGTCCTCCGGCGACCACCACCATAACAACCCACCCTGACAGCAGCATCCCAGGTGGCCCCTCACACACCGGCACCACATCTGATGCCCCAGGGGTTGCGGTCGCTCGACTTGGGTTCGGGCGCGCTCGAACCGGGCTAGACCGCCGGCGGCGGCGGCGGCGGCGGCGGCGGCGGCGGGGGTGGGCGGGCCAGTGGCGGCGGTGGCGGCGGCGGTCGATACAGCTGCCGCCGCGACTCTGCGACGCCGGCCCGACCGCTCCGGCACCGCCCGGGCGCCGCGGCTCCTCCGCCGCCGGGTCACGGGGTCACCGGCGCCCGGCCGGACACCGGCGACACGGCGGAAGTGGCCAGCGTTCGGCGGCGGCGGGGTGCCCGGCCGGCCACAGAGCCGGGCCACAGCGCGCCCGCACCGAGCATCCTCCACACCCGTCAAGTGGGTGCTTGACGCGTGCGGAGCACTTCCGACCGCGCGCCTCCACTGCCGCCGCGACTCTCGAGCGGCGGCGAGAGCAGGGCGGCCGGTCCCGTCGCGCGGCGAGCGCAGGGCGGGCTCGGCGGGAAGAAAGTGCTCTGCAACACGCCCGCGTGCAGCGCGCCTTGCAGGCCGATGGCTTGCCTGCCGTGTTTACACGAGAGACCCAGTGAGGCTGCATTTAATTACACAAGCTGAGAGACGGCCAATCACATTAGGAAGTCCGCCGACATGAGCCGGTCAATGTGTGAAAGGATTTACTACGCCGCGAGACGTGAATTTAAATCACGAGCGCTGTTACACGTACCTGCCGCCCTGGGCACACCCACGGAACACCCACCTAGATTTGTTTGTGTGCTAGATTTCAAGTGCGCAGACTGCGCCAGCATCTAAAACACCATGACGATGATGATTTGGGCTTCAGGGCGCACCAGCTGCCCTGGCTATATGACGGCCATTAAAACACCTATAAAATCTTAAGGTGCAACGTTTGTTTGATATTTGGTCACGATTCATAATACACCACCAGGCTTTTGGTTATTTGTCTTACATCAGTCACGAACTACTGCCGTAACCTCGCGTTCCATTAAAGAAAGACTTGAACAGTGGCTTTAAGTACGGCGGCTGTTCTGAACACCGAATGTAATTACATAGCAATGTATTAAAAAGGGTTGTTGTCAAGTGCAACAGTCATCGAGGTACTGAGTCTTTGGATGATAAATAACAAAGGATGACAATATAAAGGGTTCGTTGGATGACAAAGGGGCCCATCACGTTTGGCAGTGTCAAACTCATGTGCAAAGCGGCTAAAAATATACATATTCCTATTTTCTATTTTCACCGTCAATTTCTTTATCCTCGCAGCATCGCCAAACGACGATATTTAACCTTTTGTTCATGTTTAACTTAAGCACCTTGAACATTCTTAAATGTAAACTTTTCACCCGTAACTTTAACGCTTACCAGTGAAACAAGCGCTGTTTGAACGTGCTACAAAGGTCTCGTCGATACAGAGAAGTACGTCATCGTCTCAGTCTGTATTGGTGCATAAGCACATAATTCGAATTGCCATTACACGGCCTTTTGCTCTGTGCGATCACTGTCATTGGGGCATCACAGCACACTCAGCTGATGAAGCTATACGGTGTCCCCTGCCTCCCATCCTGGCAGGAGAGGCCGGCAACGTGGGGGATCGAACCCCGTATCTCTGGCTTCTCAGATACGCAACTCAGCTTCACCACTAGACTACTAGCACCCCTCACTTTGTACTGACGTTCGACGTGCAAATCACGATAACTCACTCACATCGAGCACAGAGCCGCAGCCAGTTTTAGCTGGCTGACTCGCCGTCTGGGTGAGCGCGCTGATGGTGCCAGCTGGGTTGGACGCGTCGTGGCTGGCCGTTTGTAAACGTCAGCACCACCGTCCGGTTGAAGTTGCCACGGATCGCTGTCTTATGAATGAACCTTCCGCGCTCGTGTTTACTACGCGGGTGAAAGCGAAATTAATTTCATTTTGTTACTAATTGTCTCATACGCGCATATATATGTATATATATACATACATACCTATATATATATATATATATATATATATATATATATATATATATGTGAGACTGCAATTGCAGGACATGGTTATAAGATCCCACAGCGGCAAGAAAACCGAAGCGGTGGCAAATTTCGATGTCCATAAGCATTTCAATTATTTTCACGACACAATGACAGACGCCGAACTTTTGACCATTGCAAACCTTCCATCAGTGCTTCGCGCAGATTAACCAATCATCTCGCGCCATTTCCCGGAAAATATGGCATCCACAAATACTTTCCGACATCACGGAATACGAATGGCAGAGCGTCTCTGCCCCTCTTACTAACTTGTATCCGCAAATGCGAGGGCAAGCGACGGCCGCGGCTGAATAGTTAAAATATGTTAATTTGCAAGATCTGGAACATCCGTGTCCGGCGCGCGGGGCTGGCTGCCAGCGCCGCCACACCACCCTTTGGGAGCCGCCAAGCGTTCCGCCGGATGGGCGGCGGTCGCCTATATCAACACAGGAAACGGCGGGGAAGAGTCCGCTGGACGCGAGCCGAGGGCGAGCTCCGGGACAGAAGCGGCGCGGCGGCCGCACGTCAGCACCTAATCGGCCACACTCGGTGGCCGCGCCGGTGCGCCGAGCAAACAAACCAGGCGTCCGAGGCAGCACCGCGTGCCCGCCGCGCTCGAACGCTGGAGAGGCGCGCTCACGTGCGCGGACCTGGGGTACCGGCGTCTGCCTGCCCAGCGCGGGGTCGGGATGGGGCGCGGCGCTGCGTGATCGGTCTCCTGCCGTCAACACCCGGCCACCGCCGCCGACAGTTACCGACTCAGCGCGGCACCGGCACCCGAGCTGGCTCCGGGAAACGGCCGGCCAGCAGGAAACAGCCCCAGTCGGACGGGAGAGCCAGGTCTTGGGAGCAGAGTTTCCCCGCCCCGGCACGGCTCTGGGAGGGGGGGGGGGGGGGGGGCGCGGGCGGTCGCTGTCGTTTTCCGACCCGCATGGTGCCTTCCAGGAAGCAACCGACACAGTAGCCCCCACCCTCTCAAAATACCGTCTGCCGTCCACGCCGTTGGCGCTGACCCCCTCCCCCCCCCCCCCTAGCTGTCGAGCCATCCTCCGGCTGGTCCCGGTCATTTGACAGAGCCAGCTGTTTTTAGCTCGAACTCGCCCAATTATTTCCCAGAACAGCATCACCATCCCGGAGGACCTAATGAGCACGAACACTACCTGCTCTGTGGCGGCTTTAACGGTAATACGATCTCCGAAAAACTTTGCACTCTTTTCGAGCTCGGTTCGAATTTCTACGAGGTACAAATGCAACGTCATTGAACCTTGTAACGCATCTCTTTTCGTGTTCATTTCCGACGCAGATAGCCCGGAAAACAGCAGTCACGACAACGCCTTGAAAGCGGTCGCACGAGCTGCCCTGCGAGAGCAGCGGGCGGGCCTCTGACCTCCGAGTGCTGGCAGGCGCGGCCAGGCGCTCTCAGAGGGAGAGCAGGGCACAATCGTCAGAGCGCAGGCGCTGACTGCTCAGCCGTCCCACGCAGGCCGCGGTCACACCCCGCCCACACGCCGCGGGACGGCTGAGCCGGCCGCGCACCCAGACGGCGGTGGCCAAGACGGGCGGGGAGTGCATACACAGGCATGCATACATATATACCCACCGTGGTCCCACTGCGCGCCCGCCGCGGACTGCTGACTTCCACTAGCCGTCCATAACCCGGCGGCACGGGCCGTCTAGCCGGGGGCCCCGGTGAGTAAAAATACCCCAGAACGTGACGGAGCGGGGAGAGGAGGTGTCACTTCACTGGGAAGCGAGCCGGGTGCCAGGCGGGGGAGGCCGATCCCACCACACTGGGTTCAAAGACAGCATATTCTCGCACGGCGGCACCTCCCTGTTCACGCCGCAGTGGACGTTAAGTCCCGGTCCGCGACGGTACTGAGGCCGGCACCGCACAATGCTCGCTGTGAACTCAGCGGATTCACATGACACCTAAAAGCGGATAAACGGAGATCGCTATGCACTGTCAAAAGCCGAACCATGCTCCTAGGCGTATCCAGAATGCGAATGCGGCTAGGAGAATAAACTAACATCGACGAATTTAAGTGCTGAATGGTGGTGCGCTTGGCAGCTGCAAACAGTTATTTCAAAGATGCCAACGGGACGTCGATTCATTCGACATTCAGCGGTCTGGCATGCACTGCATACAAAGTTCGACAGGAAGCGTGGATTCAGAGAGCTTCAAAGAAGGCCAACATGAGGCGGATATTCGGATTCCTTCACTGTTCCGATGACGTGGGTTTTGTGACGGCGCTTTGCTGTTGACTTAAGTATGATCAATGGCTGCTTAGAGAGCATAGAGCTTAACAGCTGCTTAGGGATTGCGCATGTCAATTAAATCACATTCATTTTTTTTCAAACGGGCAGGCAATTTGCATTCCTACAAGAAGTATTCAAATCAAGCAAATGCCCCACAACTGTACCATTGGGCACTTTCTATTTGTCCTTAAACGTGACGCCATGAACTAATACATGTTGCAATTAGAGTAACATAACCACGCACCGTTGTCAATGAGGCCCAGGCTAAGGTAAAAACTATGCATCATCTTTACAGTTCACACTTACAACATCTGACAACTGAAAATGTCTCACGAATCAGGACAATTTAACGCAAACTTCCACATCTGACCAGAAGCCAATCTTTACAAAGTAAACGGCACACACCTGGCGAGTGCGATACAACACAAAAGCAATCACGGAAATCTACCGGAACTTCCCACGCACCTGCCCCAGAACAGTCGGGCGCCCGGCCCCACCGGCGCCGTCGCGCCCCGCCACCGGACGGCGGGCGGACCCGTCGGTGCTCCGGCGCCTGGGCCCCAGCGGCGCCGCCGCGCCCCGCCACCGGACGGCGGGCGGACCCGCCGACGCTCCGGCGCCTGGGCCCCAGCGGCGCCGCCGCGCCCCGCCCCCGGACGGCGGGCGGACCCGTCGGTGCTCCCGCGCCTGGGCCCCGGCGGCGCCGCCGCGCCCCGCCATCGGACGGCGGGCGGACCGGCAGCGCTCCGGCGCCTGGGCCCCGGCGGCGCCGCCGCGCCCCGCCACAGGACGGCGGGCGGACCCGTCGGCGCTCCACTCACCAGCTTCTCGTTCTCGTCCTCCATCTCGAGTCGCGCCGCGATGCAGTTGCGCGTGTCCAGGAACACTCGTCGCTGCGCCTGCTCCATCAGGTTGTGCATGAACAGGCCCATCAAGTTGACGCAGCTGAACACCAGGATGTTGGCCGTGACCTGCGGACGGCGACCAACAGCTCAGGACGGACCGTGTCAGGGTCAGCACACACCGTATCGGGATCAGGACGGACCATATCGGGGTCAGCACGGACCGTGTCGGGATCAGGACGGGCCGTGTCTGGATCAGGAACAACCGTGTCGGGATCAAGACTTACCGTGTCGGGATCAGGACGGACCGTGTCGGGGTCAGGACGGACCGTGCCCAGGTCAGGACGGACCGTGTCGGGGTCGGCACGGACCGTATCGGGGTCAGGATGGGCCGTGTCAAGGTAAGGACGGGCCGTGCCGGAGTCAGCACGGACCGTGTCGGAGTCGTCAGAACGGACCGTGTCGGAGTCAGGACGGACCGTGTCGGAATCAGGACAGACCGTGTCGGAGTCAGGACGGACCGTGTCGGAGTCAGGACGGACCGTGTCGGAATCAGGACGGACCGTGTTGGAGTCAAGACGGACCGTGTTGGAGTCAGGACGGACAGTGTCGGAGTCGGCAGGACGGACCGTGTCGGAGTCACGACGGACCGTGTCGGAGTCAGGACGGACCGTGTCGGAGTCAGGACGGACCGTGTCGGAGTCAGGACGGACCGTGTCGGAGTCAAGACGGACCGTGTTGGAGTCAGGACGGACAGTGTCGGAGTCGTCAGGACGGATCGTGTCGGAGTCAGGACGGACCGTGTCCGTGCCGTTGCTTTGCGAGTCACGAGTCGCGAGTTATATGCTGTCATTTAGTTTGGACACCCTGTGGCAGATAAGACACAAGCGATCTGTGACAGATTGACACAGGCGTAACGGCATCACACCAAAGATGGCCCTTGATAGACACGCATGGTGATTGATTGGCGTAGATAATGTCGTAATCCGTTTACCTCCTTTTATGTTTCGTTAGTCAGCCAGCCACCCCATTACCTGGCAGGTCAAGGCAGAGCAGTTTTGCCTTGTAATGCAGATACAGTACGTTCCGATATGATGAATAACACGGCGGAAGTGACGGCCTGTGCGAGGAAGAAGCACACAAAGTCTACATGACGATATCCAACGAGGCGACCTGGTTCTGACCTGACCTTGACCCTTGCTAGCGTGGTCATGAGATTCTGCAACGGACGCATACGCTCTTTTGTTAGCTGACAGTTGCAAAGATGCAGATCCTTTATTACGGATGTTGGGGCCCTGAGACCGCTCAAAAATTCCAGTACAAAAACCTGATACCATCAATCACGTGACAGATGTGAACGCAACAAATTCTGGGTGCATGTGAGCAGAGGTAGCGATCAACGATTGAATTTTTCAGATGCAGGGATTACGTCCTGATAAATCGAGGGCACTTTTCCCCCAGCAGTAGCAGCGAGAAATATCCTTGTAGGCGCCGGTTTAGCAGGCAGCGTGGGGGCGGAAACGGGAGCGTGTGTGTGCAGAGGCGAGGTAAAGTGTATTGTGTAGAGGCGAGGTAAAGCGAAGACATTACAGGTCTACCCACATCAGAAAACACATGACGCCGTAAAGCCGATTTGAGGCTCTAAGGCTTACAGTAGCATTTGTGGCAGGAATCGGCAGCCCGTAAACATTTTCCACCAAGAACGAGCCTGGTAGAAAGAATCACGGGACCCACACCCATTTCCTGGATTTCACTTCCCAGAACTGGTTGCTGCCTTAAACTTCGTGCCCAGTTCAAAGCGTCACAGACGTTCTATCACACAATGCTCAACAAGACGAACGAAAGTTTCGTCGTCGCCAAGCGTTTCTCTCGCCCAATTCCGCGGTAAAATTCCCGACAGTCTTGCTAACGAGGTCATCACTAGCGTGAAATAAACGAAAACTGACAACAGCACAAAGCACTCAACCGAAATTATCACTCAAATGCAGCTGGACCCTATCCAGCCGGGAACACAGAAGAAATAAAACTATGGCAGCGGGAGGCGGGCGAGTATCGAGCGGAGTCCGCGGGCCCGGCTGTGGCGGAGGGCAGCAGCGCGCCGGCGGCGTCGGTCCGGCACCGCTCGTCACCCGCATCGCCCGCGCCGGGCCCAGATGCGCGCACCAGGCTGGCGAGCCGGCGCACGAACACGGACGCCGCCGCCGCCGCCGCCGCTGTCCCGTCCCGCGACGGGCGATGGAGCCGCGTGCGGTCGTGCACCGCGTCGCTTAGAGCTCGCCCGAGATGTGACGCCGCGTCCTGGGCGGCCGCTCCGCTGTCGGCTGGCGGAGCCGCGTGCGGCCGTGCGCCGCGTCGCCCAGAGAGCGCCCGAGAAGTGACGCCGCGTCCTGGGCGGCCGCTCCGCCGTCGGCTGACGGGCTGCGCGCCGCGTCGCCCAGGGCTCGCCCAGATGCGGCGCATCCTCGCGGGCGGCCGCTCCGCCGTCGGCTGGCGGAGCCGCGTGCGGCCGTGCGCCGCGTCGCCCAGAGAGCGCCCGAGAAGTGACGCCGCGTCCTGGGCGGCCGCCCCGCCGTCGGTTGGCGGGCCGCGCGCCGCGTCGCCCAGGGCTCGCCCCAGATGCGGCGCAGCCTCGCGGGCGGTCGCTCCGCCGTCGGCTGCGAGCTCAGCGGAATCGGAGCTGTTTGGGCTGTCGGAGGCCTCGGGCGCCGCCCGGCACTGGGCCGAATCCAGCTGACGGCGGACAGAGTGTGCTGCTCACGACCTGCCCGCGCTACAACCATACCATCGTCGCGCATTCACACACCGCCGCGCAACTGCCGCAACCTTGGCCCGTGCCCGCAGAACACTTGGTTGACGGGACCGGACCGCAACAAGCCTACCTAATTTGGACGTTGCCGAGGCCCTTCACTTCAAAGAGCCTAAAATTAATTTGCCTCGGAGCGACGCCGGTCGCCATGTGCAGGCCTAATCCCACGGTGGGTGTCGTCAGACGCATCGACCCCAGCCTCGATGAGCCGCCGATAAGCCGGACACAGCCCAAACACGGAGCCAGGAAGCTTAAGAGATTTGCCCCGTGCCCATTGTAACCCGCGCCCACCGGAGTCACGTCCCGTCGGTCGCCCGTTTCATTCCGCGCGTCCCATCCTGGCGGGGCCGGTGTCCGCATCCGTGTCTCTGCAGGTTTGTCCCTGCTGGTTACGGGACCGATTGCGTGACAACTATCACCTGCCACAGGGCGCCACCAATTGGTGCTGCGGTCGCCAAGCTTGTAAGCCTGCAGAGCCAAAGGAAAATTCATCATACTTGGCGGCTCCGAGAAGCGTGTGCTTAGGACGATGCAGCACGCCCGCCAGCGTAGCTCGACCCCCGCATGCCGCCGCTTTATTGGGGGCGTGCTGATGGCCCGTGGTTATGTGTCACGTGAGTAAAATGAAGCCATTATTCATGGAAAATCTTCGTCGTGACAACGTGGCATGCGCGAGAGATGGGTAGAATACATCTAGTGGTCAAATATGCGCTACTTCTATTCCTGCTGCTTCCTTAAACTAAACGTGAAAGAGTTACGTCCACGCAGTTAGCTCCATTTACCTGTAGGACAGGCGTCTCATTAGCATCAGCAGTGACGACTATATTTCAAGTCATCGACAGGCCAACCACTAATCTCAAATCCACCAAAAGGAAAAAACGAAAGGTAAACCAATTCTTGTTGTTGGCGTTAGGAGGAAGGCGCAGCCCCCAATGGTGCTAGAGAACATTTTGCTTCTCGAATCAGCGGTAATATCGACAGGTCTTGCCACTTAATGATATGTCAAATAGTTCCGCAAAACAACATAGCACATCCCACACATCCACATAGACATCCAGCCAGGCATCCAGTCATAGTACCGAACCGAGCTCGCCGACCTTGGCCATCAGCCAGTTACGACCGCTCGTGAAGTCATCGTAATCCAAGGAAAGAAGCTGGGCTTGCAGACCGGCGACACTAAGGTCGAATCCCAGCTGCGTGCACTGTCGGTTGTAAATCGTGCAAAATCCTATCCGCTGGTATCTGAGCAAAGGAACGACTTGGTACGCCGTGGGTGTGCCATAGCACTACACGGCATCAAACATATGTCCACAGTACTGCCCGTCTAAAGTGACACGAAACACATCTCCCGTTCGACCGAGAGCCCCCTTTGTTCATGGATCGGGTACCTGCAATACACACGGTTCCGTTTCACGTGTACTCCTGGTCTTAAACTACGCGTGCAAGCCGCTAACCGCATCTGCAACAAAATAACGAAACAGCCGCGAACAAAAACCCGGCCGCCACAGCACGCCGTCCTGAAAAACGGACAGCTCATCAAGTCAGCGTTCGACCGGCGGCCGCGGCGCCGGCCGGCCGGCCGTGGTCCACTCACCTGCTGCCAGCGCAGTGCCGGCAGCTCGGTGACGCAGAGCAGGCTGACGGCGACGTGCGCGGCCGGCAGCAGCACGCCCACGCAGCACGTCACCCACACGCGGATAGGCAGCATGGCGTACAGCAGGAACAGCGTGAAGGCGATGTGCCAGACGCCGTCGGCGTGTGTCCAGCGCCCCTGCGGCGCGCCGAAGCCCACCGGCAGCGACACCACGCAGAACAGCACGCTGCAGGCCAGCAGCAGGTAGCAGAGGCCCAGCAGGTGCTGGTCGCGCATCCAGCGCGTGCCGCTGTAGACCAGCAGGCCGACCAGCAGCGCGGCCATCAGCAGGTAGTAGACGAGCGGCGCCGAGGCCGGCGCGCCGTGGCCCAGCGCCAGCGCGCCCAGACTGGTGCACAGCAGCACGTACAGCAGCAGCGCGCCGCCGATGCTGGAGCGCTGCAGCTTGACGATGTAACGCTGGTAGAGCGTCTCCAGCTCGTCGTTCTCGAAGCGGTGCCGGTTGAGGAGCCGCGCGAACGCCGCCTTGCGGTGCGAGCTCATCGCCTTCACACTGTGGTCCATGGCGGCGACGGGCGGCTACACCATCGCTGCAACGACGGAGCGTGCGTCGGAGCAGGGCACTGGCACAATCACGCTCCATGGCACATTCACCGTACCAATACAGGCTTAATATAGGGACGTAATGAAAGTGAGGGGCAATCCCCAAATCTGCGGCAATACACAAAATCAGATCTGTGGGGTTAACTCACCAACGTGAGCAAAAGGGTCAGACAGAGACCCGTAAGTACGCCACAGATGCACCCACAACCAGCAGTTCACGGTCTCACATCGACACACTGAAGCCTTAGAGCTCTCGACGAAAGGTTAGTTGTTTAGTTAGTTGTTGGCGTTCGTGGTCACGCCGCCTGCTGGGATCATTTTACCCCCATTTGACGCAGGACACACTCGGGCGCGCACGCCCACCACTGCTGCGAGCTGACCAGTTTTATGGTGCGTCATACCTTCTGGGTATTTCACAGCACACGCAACAGCTTTGGCAGATAACGCCGTTATCTCTCACAGCGGGACGGCTTAGGACCTCTCGCCGGACACCCAAACATATGCTATAGTCCGCCTGACAGCCGCCGGCTTTCTGTTATGACACGGACGCTGTATCACGGAGGTAATTAGGGCACAGAACACAAGGTCCAGATCGGCTCTTACATTAACAATGCGATGGCGTTTATTCAAATTACATGGAATCGAGATAGTTGCCAACAAACTTTCGAATGAAACCGAGAGGCCCGTCTAGAGGCGAGTACACAGAGAACGATTTAGAGTTCAGGGCGGATGGATTAGTCCGCGATTATTTCGGTACAGCCTCTTATCGAAACCTGAAGCGAGAAACTCAACCTAAACGACGCGGCCCGTTGAGCTGCCGTGTTCAAGTATATAGCCTAGCGTTCCAGCAGATCCATTTGTTCGGCCGTGACAGCACATGTCCGCCCACTCACGTCACTACCCATATCCCAGCAGATTTGTTTTCACCCATGGCCATTTGTCAATCCTATGCAGGCCCTGCAGACGGGCTGGTCAAAAAATGGGAAACAGAAAGCACACACGTGCGGCACGAGCACACCGCGGCACGAAGTGCAATGAATGGGTGTTGCGCAGATGGCTATCAGCTTCCGAGTTCAAAGCAAGGTTACCGAAAAAAAGGCCTGGAGTTGCTTTTTAGCTGCTGCTTTAAACCGAAGGATCAAACTCGTAACCGGCGCACGTGTCCGTGAGTGACATACTCCAAGCGATCATACCCGCAACGGATCGTGCAAAGCGGCGGCATCCAGTCTCCCACTTAGCCGAAGTCATTATCGCCACTTTTGCTCGGTTAGTGCAGCTGCCAGCAAAAAAGCTTGCAGATGCAAGGCCGACAAGAAGAGCGTGTCACCAGAGGCCGACAGAGCTGCTACCTGTGGCCGACAGACTCGCTGGCCGAACACGGGTCCCTACTCCCACATATCGCCTTTCCGTGAGTTATCGAATGTAGGCGACTGACCGTGGTCAGAGCCACCGAACGCTAAAAGACAACCTAACTGCCCCATCAGCAGAAAAGACAGAGAGCGCCCGGGATCATAACAGGGACGGGGACGGGGACGAATACGGATACAGATACGGATACGGATACGGATACGGATACAGAACGGGTACGGGTACGGGTACGGGTACGGGTACGGGTACGGGTACGGATAATGATACGGATATGGATATGGATACGGAACGGGTACGGGTACGGGTACGGGTACGGGTACGGGTACGGGTACGGGGACGGGGACGGGGACGGGGACGGGGACGGGGACGGGGACGGGGACGGAGACGGAGACGGAGACGGAGACGGAGACGGAGACGGAGACGGAGACGGAGACGGAGACGGAGACGGAGACGGAGACGGAGACGGAGAGGGAGAGGGAGACGGAGACGGAGATCAAGATGGAGGCAGAGGAGGGGACACGAACGTGAACAGGGTGGGGGTGGGGATGGGGATGGGGATAAGGACCAGCATAGATATGTAGACAGGAATGAGGAGACAGCCAATGATGGGGAGGGGGTCTCAGGCACATCAACTGCAAGAGGCCAAGCAGCAAAAAGATAGGACTGGGGGCATGAACAAGATGGCTGCTGGTCCTATCCAGGAAGGAAAGCATAGGGAGGAAAACATTTTGTCCATTCACATTGGTCCAACAGGCTGCAAGAATCTTCCCAACTTACCAATCCCTCCTATAGCCTGGGGAATACATGCTGGGATATTAACTCAGCAGTACTGTGTTTAAATCTGAGACAATTAACACTGTTTGGTGAGATAATGGCAGTGGTATCTTAAATTTTTTAAATTTGTAATCCTTATAACAGCAAAGATACATTTCTGACTAATGTCTTGAAAGCTTTAAAAACTGTCTGTAGAGATGTTTCAAAAAGCATCTTCAAGTGATAACATGCACTTCAGCGCAAGAAAACCTAGAAAGGTATCTGAGGTTTTACCAATGTTTTAGGAACAGCCTGACAGCTTAAGGTGACTGTAAAACATGAAAAATACATCAGTCAGGTTGGTGCTTTTGTTGTGGCTGGTGAATGCCATGGACTTTTACTTTTTTAGTGCATTTATCATCATCTATCACAACTGGATCAATTATTTTGTGCCAGTCAAAAACAATGCCGAATCACTTTTGGTTTGTCTTAAAACCCACCATCATTTGGGTTTATGTCAAATCCTTCCCCAGGCATTAATTTCAACTGAGCAGGGACAGAAGGACTACTTTATCCCCAGGACCATTTTCCTAGACATTTTAATCACGTGTCTTGCAGGCTGGTCATGGGATGAATGTGTTGTTGTCATGGCCCTGACCACTCTTCCCGAGAACTGCAAGTTGTCAATGGACAATATTTTGTTAAACAAGGTTTTGGTGCCCCCTTTATTGCTATATAATGATAATCGCATGCCAGCAAGACCCCTTATATCAGTTGCTATTATCAGTGATATTTTATAACCTTGGTTGCAGGGGCACAAACCCATGTTCATGCCAAGCAGTATGCTTACATGTTTCATGCTCTCCTTACTATCCTATATGGACAGAAAAAAATGGACAATACATAAATTGGATACACAAAGATTCAAAAATGGTCACAAACATCCCACATCCTGTCAGTTTATGCAGATGCCATGGCATTCTGTTGATTTGTCACATTTTCTCTGGATCTTAAAAGCTAAAGCTTCTTGCTATTTAACCCTGATAGGAAGTCTGCTTATCCATTGATAATGCTGAGGAAGAATATTCTCCTCTTGGGAAGCAATAGTGATGTTTGAGGCTTTGCATGCCATTTGTCATGTGTTATTTCTTGTGGTGAGATGACCTGGGTTGACAGCATCAAGCCTATGGTCACAGTCTAGCACATCTTTACACATATTCTCTCTTGTTTATCACCTAAATGGTGCCCTGCAAAAAGTGCATAATGACTACAATGTATTGTGTAGAAAATATCCATGCAATTTCATGATAATTGTAAGCATTGATCATTTACAATCCCACAATAGTATGGGGTTGGGTTTGTCTGCCTTCATTCTCTATGCTAACCTCATATCAGTAAGTTTGCATTATCTTGTGACTGGGTATTACACTACCCCCCTGCCCAGCCCACACTTTCTGCTGGGTGAGAAAAAATGGTGGGCTGAGAAATGCCTACCAACTTGATTTGTTCCTTGACCATTTATTCATATCAAAGGTGACGTGAAATTGAGCAATACTTTTTAATCCCAACCAGTAGCACTGCTTAATTGCAATGAGACGTCCAAGATGTTGAAAATCACGCCTACCCGGCAGCGGAAGGACTTGTCACCACACAAAGAGTAAGCTGCTCCCCGTAAGGCTCATATTTCCGAGCCACGGCACGGCAGCATCGACCGTAAAGAGCCGCACACCGGGTAACTCACCAGCACGGGCACAAGGCGAAAACTAGGACGCTCTCTAGCCACCAGCCGCCAAGGGTTGCTTTTACTTCCGGTGGCACAGGTAGCTTGCTGGGATCCACACATCAGCCACTAGTTCAAATCATTCCTGGTAGCGATGCCCTAACGCGTATCACATTTCCGCCCAGCCACCGGCACACCACACACCACCCGACGCTCCACTTTGCAGACTGCCGCGCCAAATGCCGGCGGCGCCCGAAAGCCTCTACCCGGGCTTCGGCTCAATACCCAGCTGACTATTGTCGAGCAGCGACAGCTTGGGTAGAGGCTTCCATTGGCGGCTTGTTTTTCGGCCGTGGTTTTTACACGTGACGTCCATCTCCTGGTCCTTGGCCGCACGCAGTTATTTTTTGGAATGTAGGGCGAGACGACCCCGCCACTACTGGCAATGCAGAAGCGCGAAAACTCTTGGAAAATACTCTGAGGGTAGTGCTGAACAGTGTAGCCAGGAATTCGCTCAGGGAGAGATAGGGAGCAAACCGAGGCGCTGGGGGCACTCCCAGCCAGGGGCACCCACTTCGTCGCTACTAGAGGCCCTGCCCTTTACTTCGGGTCTTCTTAGGGTCAAGATCTCATTTAAATCCGCAGGGCGCGTCTTTGATGGTTTAGAGGGTCTACAGACGTTAAACTGCCACGGAAATACTGGGGTCTGCGTCGGGACATCCCCGCTACTTCTGTGGGGCACTAACTTAAGCCCCCTACTTGCAACGCCATTGACAAACATGATTTGCCCCATCATGCGGTCGGTGGGTGAGTCAAAACGTCCGCCGGTCCCTTTCAGCCCCGTATTCTATTTCCAGCCTTATCAACCTATTCAGTCAGCGCCTTTGAAAAACGCTAGTACGTTACCCCAATCCTAAACATACTTCTTAGCATCCTCAACGGAGTGCCGACAGCCTCTCAAGTAGCTAAAGCATCTAAAAAAATTGATAGGGCCTTTTACAAATGACCAAGTGCCTATACAGTCATTTTTGCTTGGGTGGGGAGGGTTCTCAACAGTTTCCATCGGAAAAGCCACGCCAATTTTGCCTGTCACGTGCTCCGGGACGGAGCTGAAAACTCAAAAACGCTGTTAAAATATGTATTTCTCCGAGCCTCGCCAAAACTTTTCAGTCCCGTTCGTTCAGGGCCACATCAAACCAGATTCCAGCGCGACGGCAGAACAGAGACGGACACAGGACAGCCATCGCCGGGCTGTTCCGCACAGGCCGACGGCAGGGGGTTACATCACTCAGTACTGAACAACCCGGACCATCTAAAGCGGTCCGTACCGCCTTCATCGCCCGCGACCACGACACGTGCACGACGACCGACGGGCAGCGCTCTCAGGACGCCGTCCGCGGCCGATGTGTGGCGTGCATAGAGCAATCCGCGGACACTGTGCGGCGTCCTCAGGACACCGTCCGCGAACGATGTCCGGCGTGCACAGAGCACCGTCTGCGAACGATGTCCGGCGTGCACAGAACACCGTCCATCATCGATATGCAGCGACGCCGGCGACACCGCCTCCCAAATGTTTACAAACAGAGCACGGCCGGTACGGGCGCATGGTTGCTCTACACGAATACGACTGCGCTGGCGCGGCTATACGAAAATGGATCGGCGATTGTACCATCACGGCTCTAAAGGGGGCAAATCCTCAAAGCGCTCTTTGTAGTGTTCCGGACACAGGGCTTCGGTTTCGACGGCCGCACAGTCGCAGCAGCGCAGTCGCGGCACTACGTATACAACACGCTAACTAACAGCACGTGCAGGGGATAACAGAGCCCGGCGTGGCCGGCCACGGCGGGCCGGTCGGCGCACGTGGCGCCGCCTGCCGGCCTCCCACCGCGCGCCGCCGGTCAGCGGTTGCGGAGCCGACAGCAGCGCACCCGATAGACGCCCGGGCGTCCTGCGCCGCCACGTCGATCAGACGTCAGAGCTCCGGCTCCAGACCGGGAGCAGGCCGACCGTAAGCCTTTTGGGCCGACCGCAGGCCGCCGGCCGGTCCCGCTCCGGCCGGGCAGGGGTCAGACCGTCCCCGGCCGGGCAGCCGCCTCACTGTTGCCTCATTGTCGGCGTCGGCGGCCGCGCGCGAACTGGCGCTGCCGGGCGTCCGAGGCGCCGGCCGAGCCGATGCTGAACATGCCACCTCCGGCAGGCGGCGAGACGGCAGCGCCACCTGCCGGCACGAGGTACAGTCAGTCCGAAGCCCCGCCGACTCCGCACGACAGCATGGCGGCACGTCCTGACTTCAACCGCACGACTCGTACGGGCCAGGCGCGTCTGAAACCGACAGCAACAAACACACGCCTAACTGCTCTAAAGCGAGAGACTCGCACACCGACGTCACGCCTGGAGTCACCGCCACCTACCCGTGCCGTGTTTAACCGCTTTACCGTCCTTGTGATGATGACGGCGACACTCATAAACACAATATTGCTAAAGCGAGGGCATAAACAGCCGCTGTGTCGTCCGTACCCATACTGAAGCCGGGTGTGGAGCCAAACGCCGGCGATGGAGCGGCCGCCGGCGTACCGAACGCTGCGGGAGAGAGACACGCTCAAGATCCCGAGGGCTGACGCGACCATAATGTCTTCAGCCGGCGGAGCAGCGCTCAACAGTCCGTAGTGCTGCTCGCCTTACAGTTAACGTTGCTCACAGGTCCTACAGTTAACGTTGCTCACAGGTCCTACAGTTAACGTTGCTCAAAGGTCCTACAATTAACGTTGCTCGCAGGTCCTACGATCAACGTTGCTCGCAGGTCCTACAGTTAACATCACTGGCAGGTCCTACAGATAACGTCACTGGAAGGTCCTACAGTTAACGTCAATGGCAGGTCCTACAGATAACGTCAATGACAGGTCCTGCAGTTAACGTCACTGGCAGGTCCTACAGTTAACGTCAGTGACAGGTCCTACAGTCAACGTCACTGGCAGGTCCTACAGATAACGTTACTGACGGTCGGATCGAGACACACGAAAGCTCTACAAAAATAAGCGTTTACGCTTGTCAGATATCTGGGACGCGAGCTACCCGCTGCGGGTTTCGGTTCCAACATCGAGACGAAGTTGAGCGTGGTTAACATGAAAAAGGAGGAACGCTGGACAGCGGATAAGGCTGAGAACGGGGGAAACCAATACAAGAGCGCATTAGGCTGAATGCCGGTACGCGGCTGGGCGTGGGGTACATTGGTACATTCGGAGCGTTGAATGACACCGCGGGAGGAATACTGCTGTGAGGTATAACCAAAGTACACCAAAACAATTAGAAGAGGAACGTTTAGCGGCGTAGCGGGAGAATACACGAGCTGGAGATGAGCTAGTTGACCAGGCATCGCACAGTAGAGCCCCGCTATGGCACGCCAAGGCAGTACTCACGAGAGGGTGTCGCAGAGAACGGGCTGGCGGCCATCGGCGCCGGCGCCGGAGCGCCGAATGGGCTGGGGCTGGGCGCCGCGCCGAAAATGACGGGAGCTCCCGCCGTCTGGTCGCCGGCCAGTGGTCCCGCCACGCCCACCGGTTTGGCCGCAGGGGCGCCGAAGCTGAAGGTGGCCGGTGACGACGCCAACTGGGGGGACGCCGCGGCGCCCGACCCGAACGGGAACGTGGCACCGCCGCTGCCCGCCGCCGGCTGGGGGGTCGCCGTAGCACCCGACCCGAACGAGAACGTAGCACCGCCGCTGCCCGCTGCCGGCTGGGGGGTCGCCGTAGCACCCGACCCGAACGAGAACGTAGCACCGCCGCTGCCCGCCGCCGGTTGGGGGGCCGCCGCGGCTCCCGACCCGAACGAGAACGTTGCACCGGCGCTGCCCGCCGCCGGTTGGGGGGCCGCCGTAGCACCCGACCCGAACGAGAACGTGGCACCGCCGCTACCCGCCGCCGGCTGGGGGGCCGCCGTAGCGCCCGACCCGAACGAGAACGTAGCACCGCCGCTGCCCACTGCCGGCTGAGGGGCCGCCGTAGCACCCGACCCGAACGAGAACGTAGCACCACTGCTGCCCGCTGCCGGCTGAGGGGTCGCCGTAGCGCCCGACCCGAACGAGAACGCGGCACCACCGCTGCCCGCCGCCGGCTGGGGAGCCGTCTTGGAGCCCGACCCGAACGAGAACGTCGCGCCACTGCTGACCGCGGGGGCACCGAAGGCGAAGCCAGACGAGGGCTTCGGATCAGCCGGAGCCTTGGAGCCGAAAACAAACGCCCCGGAGGCGGCCGGCGCGACGGCTGGGTTGATGGCGGAGGCGGCGGTGGACGCCTGCTGCGCGGGCGCAGCGCGGAAGGTGAAGCTGGCGCTAACGTCGCCGTTGGCGGGAGCGGCGGCGGCGGCGGCGGTGGTGCCCGCGGGCCAGGAGGGCGCAGCGGTCGACGAGGCATGAGCGAGCGAGCCGAAGGCGGGCGTCGCCGCGGTCGCAGCCCCAAACGCCGGGGACGGGGCACTGGCGGTGCCGAAGCCTGCGGCCGGCGTGGAGCCCACGCCGCCAAACGGCGAGCCGAATGCTTTGACGGTGGCCGGGCTGGCGACAGCGCCGTATGCTGGAGGTGGTGCTGAGCTGGTGGCAGCGCCGAATGCTGCAGCGGGTGCTGAGCTGGTGGCAGCGCCGAATGCTGCAGCGGGTGCTGAGCTGGTGGCAGCGCCGAATGCCGCAGCGGGCGCTGAGTGGTTTGTAGTACCGAATGCCGGGGCTGATGCTGAACTTGTAGCAGCACCAAATGCTGAAGTGGTCGTTGAACTGGTTGCAGCGCCGAATGCTGGGGTGAATGTTGAACTGGTAGCTGCACCAAATGCCACAGCGGGTGTTGAACTATTAGGAGTACCAAAAGCCGGAGTGGAAGTTGAACTGACAGCGGTACCGAATGCTGGGGTTGGTGCGGAACTGGTAGCCGTACCGAAAGCTATAGTGGACGTTGACCCACCAGCAGCACCGAACGCCGGAATAGATGTTGAACTGGCAGCGGCACCTACTGCTGGCGTAGGTGCCGAACTGGAAGCACCACCGAACTGGAATGCCGGGGTGGGTGCTGAGCTCGTAGCAGTACCGAATGCCGAAGTCGGTACTGAACTGATGGCGGTACCGAAGGCTGGGGTAGGCGCTGAACTGGCGGCAGCTCCGAATGCGTCATTGGGTGCTGAAGTGGAATCGGCACCAAATGCTGGCGTAGACACCGAGCTTGTAGCAGCGCCGAACTTCAGAGCGGGTGAGGAACTGATAGCAGCACCTGCCGATGAGATAGCCGGCAAGCCGTTAGCGGCACCAGCTGCTGGCGTGGAAGTCGCAGTCATGGAAGCGCCGAATGACGGGGTGGCCGTTGCGCTCGCGGAGGCGCCGGTGTCTGTCTTGAACGTCAAGCTATCGGAGACGCCGACAGCTTGAGCGGCGGTCGAGCTGGCGGCAGTGCCGTCCGCTGGGCTGGCGGTCGTGCTGACGGCGGTGCCGAACGCCGGCGCCGCGCCCGCCGCGCTGCCAAACGCCGGGTCGGCGGTGGCGGCCGCTGACGACGCGATGCCGCCGGCGGCCGCCGGTGACGCCACCGACGTGGTGGCGGTGGTGAGGCCGACGGCCGGGCTGGCGCCGCTCGCGGCCGCGGCCGGCGCCGGGGCAGCGGCGACTGGGGCCGTGTCGGCCGGCGGATCGCCAGCCGACCGCTCTGCCGCGCTCGACCCTGCAACCAGCGGCGCTCGATGAGTGACGGCACAGCACTGTCAGATGTCGGGTGTCAGGTGTCATGAGTCCGGTGTCAGGCGTCAGGTGTCAGGCGTGGGGAGTTAGGTGTCAGGTGTCAGGAGTCAGGTATCAGGAGTCAGGCATCAGAATTCAGGTGTCATGTGCCAGGAGTCAGGTGTCTTGTGTCAGGAGTTAGGTGTCAGGGGTCAGGCGTCAGGTGTCAGGCGTCGGGAGTTAGGTGTCAGGAGTCAGGCATCAGGAGTCAGGTGTCATGTGCCAGGAGTCAGGTGTCTTGTGTCAGGAGTCCGGTGTCTTGTGTCAGGAGTTAGGTGTCTTGTGTCAGGTGTCAGGCGTCAGGTGTCAGGTGTCAGGTGTCAGGGCGGACTCCGCGACAGCGGTCAGGCTGTGACGCTGCCTGCCGTCGCGCTCGCAGCACCTCGCCACACGCCACATCAGGTCGACCACGACCGCACCGAGGTGTGCCACTAAACGGGCTTTCCTCGCTCGCTCCTCCGTCCCACAGCTGGTGCCGCTGCCGCTGTCACTGACCTGGCGTGTCGAAGGCGCGCAGCAGGCGGGCGAGCCGCCGCTGCCGGTCACGCTCGTACCCCTCCACGGTGACCTCGTTGGTCCGGTACACCGGCTCGGCTGGCGGCTCAGCTGGCGAGCTGAGCATGCGCGTGGGACGAACGGGCGGCGGCGACGCATCCGGCACCTGTCGGCCGCCACACGCACGTCAGCTTCAGAGTGCGACCGACAGGTGAGTCCCACCCTACACCGTCACTACCCCAGCGTCGGGAGCGCCGGGGAACGCCGCGGCCAATCAGGTTCCAGACGAGACAGCTCTGCTGTTAGTTTGTTGTCTGCTCAAGTGCTCATAGGGGAGATATATTTCAAACCTTGCTTCTGTTTATATTTAGTCGTGTCATTGCCTTTTTTCGTTCAGCTTAAGTCGTCGTATTGCCTTCTATGTGTACCAACATATACATTAAAGTATTATGGCTAAGCAACGTTGACAACGTAAACTAGCCTAATAGAAACATGGCCAGGCACATACTGCAACATTCGGCACTGCAGAATGCAGCATTAATCATTTTCACAAACTCTGCCTGCACTGACTGAGCTGGGAAGGCGAACACACAGGCAGCTGCCACCTGCGGCCATGGGGAGGAAGGCATGCGTCGCCGGTCGCCGGCCGCCACGCTCTCACCGGCGAACCCGGTGTCATCAGTTGGTCGCCGTCCTCATCCTCGGCCGGCGGCTGCGGCTGCGACTCTGGCTCCGAGCCTGGCTCCGGCTGCGGCTCTGGCTCCGGCTGCGGGCGGCGCTTGGGAACGGCCGGCGTCGGCGGCGTCTGCACCTCCGCTGGCAGCACAGATCACGTCAGTCGCCCCAACAGCAGCGCTTCGCAGCGGGATACATAGTAATCTCCCACGATGACAATCACCCCAGTATTCGCGAGAGAGCACCAAACGCTGGCGCCACGGGCTCTTAAGACACGACAGCGAAGCTGCGCGAGAGCGAAGCGGCCCATCTTCCCACCCGCGGGGCGCCTCAAGCGCGGCCACGCTTCTGAGTTCCAGTCTGAGTTACAGTCTGAGACACAGTCTGAGGCGCAGTCTGCTCACCGCGCCGCTTCCTCCTGGGCGGCCGCGGCGCCGACGAGCTCAGCGACGAGAGGATGTCCTCGCCGCTCATCACGGACAGGCGCTGCCGCTTGCCGGTCACGTCCGACGGAGTGGCGCCCATGTCAGAGCCATCTGCCGACAGGTGCGCGAAGCTGCGCTTTCCGCATGGCACGGGCGCGTCGCCCGGAAATTCCAGCCTGAAACAAACGCGGTACAGGACGTAAGTGCCACGTACGTGATAACATTCAGTACCTTAGTACCACACAAGCATCACAGGAAAAAATCTGACAACGTCGTATGCACTGTGGCAAACTGTAAACACAACGTCCCGAATCTGATCAATACATCTGTAAGGGTGGCCAGAATAGCACGCGCGAGACGGATGTTTCGAAACTTGTGTTTTGTAGTTCCATCTATACAAAAGCAGCCACTGCAAGCCAACCGAGGCACACTCACTCGCTTGTCTCGGCGTCGTCGTCGAGCGGGATAGCGCCGACCGTCACACCCAGCTCGTCAGAGATCCGGCACAGTCGCTTGGATTCGTCCTTGTCCTCCGCCTGCCAACGAAGCGGCGACGAGATCAAGGAAGACGTTATTCAGAGGTGTCTACAGACCCTACCGCATCAATTCGCACGCTGACGAGGCGCGCCACCGCTTCACGCGCTCACACGCATCAATCATGCTCTTCACCATTTTCCAAACTGTGTACGCACTCGCAACTTACGGCAGGTAAATTAAGCGTCACTCTCCCTCTCTATTTCCCTCCGAGCGTCTCCGCACAAGATACGCGCCTCAGACAAGTTTGCCACTGCGTCCGGCTCGGCGGCACACCGGTGACAGCCCGCGCCAGCAGCGCGGCGGCGGCCCGGGCGCCGATCACTCACGTGCGCTCCCGACGCGGCGTCCTGCTCCGCGCGGGCTCGCTTACGGTGCCCGGGCGCCTCGCGGAGCGCGGCCACCACCGCCTGCGCGGCCGTCAGGTGCGAGCTGACCGGCGAGGCCAGGCTGGCCGGCGGCGGCGGCGGCGGCGGCGCCGCCGCCGCCGCCGCCGCCGGGGAGCGGCCGGCGCCGCGGCCCGGCCGGCTGTCGGCGGCACAGGCAGGTCAGGCGAGGCCGCAGCGGAGTGCTCGTGCGTTCATGCGTGGGACGTGCCCGGCGCCGCGGCCAGTGCTCACTCGCGGCGGGGGGGGGGGGGCGAGCAAACAGAGGCAGCACGCACGGGCTGCCGTCGCTTCACACCAGGCCACATGGCCAGCACATTCGACTCAGCAGGCATGGAGCGAGATCAACGCAACACACGACAAAGCGCACACCATCCCACGACTGCTCCCCTCCCGCCGCGTTCCAGCCGCGCGGCGACCGTGCCGCACCTGTCGGGCGTGCGGGGCCGGGGCGGCGCCACGCGCACAGTGACCTGGGCCGGCCGGCGGGCGGCGGCGGCGGCGGCGCGCAGCCGGGGCAGCGGCGCTCCCGGCAGGCTGACCAGCGGCAGCCGGCCGGCCGGCTGCCAGGAGGCGTCGGTCGGCGCGCGCGGCCGCAGGCGCAGGCCTGGCGACGCCGGCGCACTCCGCATGGCCACCTCACTGCTGCCGGAGACGGGCGAAGTCAGGGTAGACGCCGGCCTCACGACAGGCGCGCGCAGCTGCCCGCTAGGCTCCGTGTAAGATACAGTTCAACGGCGACGTCGCTGAACACGAGCGTGTCAGACTCATCCGACGCGTTGCAGTGGACAAAATCATAAATGTCAGAAGTCCGGTTGCGATGGCGACCGTTTTAGTTGCCAGGGTTCGGCAAAGGTCGTGTTGTTATACGGAAATGTCAATGCTGACGTCGCAGCTGAAACGTTCGTCGACGAAAACGCATAGCACTGTGAAATTGATAACTTTGCCTCTGCTATCGTAGAAGCACGAGTTCAAAATCTGAGCACGTGCGCCTCAACCACACAAGGCATACGCCTCCAAGGCTCACCTAGCTGTCAAGTCCTTTTTCGATGGCGAATTCACGTAACGTTCCAGCACCGGCATGTTGGTCATTCTTCCCAGACGGTAGATTGGCTTTCTCGCCGTCGGTCCGGCAAATCCCGACACCTTAGAGCCCGCCTCCAGTGCGTCCTCTTTGCCCGAGTTCCCTGCCGTTCCCCATGTCTGCAGCGGCTCCCCGAACCCCGCTTTGGGCCCGCGAGGCGAGCCGACTGCTGGCCGTTCTGCCGGCCGGCGGACCAGGCCGCGTGTGCCGGTCAGGCCGCTCTGACCTGTCCGGCCGCTCTGACCTGTCAGGCTGCTATGACCGGCCAGAGCCGCCCTCCCGACCAGCGGCGCGTCGCCAACACTGTCACCTCGGGCGGACCACCCACGCTGGCCGCTAGGCCCGGCGGCCAGCGCCGCGGCCAGATCGGCGAGCGCCGGCTGGGCGCGCAGCCACCGGCGCACGTCTTCCCAGCGGATGGCCAGCAGCATGGCCAGCGTCAGCACCAGCGCCAGCACCAGCCAGAAGAGCAGCACCATGGTCAGCCAGACACAGGGCACAACTGTCATAGACTGGCTACAGACAGCTCAGAGGCAGTTGTTTGCTTGGCTGATCGATGGCTGCTGCGTCAAGCTGGCCAGGCCATGGATGCACCAGCCATAGTCTGGAAAAGGGAACAATGCTAGCAAGATGAATGACATCTGATTGACTGGGGAAGAACAACACTTCATGTTTTGATGACCATAGAGGAGACAATAAAACTGCTTACAAATTGTGATATCCATGCAATATGTATAGATGCATATTATATATATATATATATATATATATATATATATATCAAAATGTGGATAATTTGAATGTGCATATATATATATATATATATATATATATATATATATATATATATATATATATATATAATATGCAATGTGTGCATGGCATATGCCATTTGCTTGTAAGACATAAATGACAAGTTTCACAATTGCCAGAGGCTCTGCAATGACCCAGACCCATGATAGCATTGAGATAGTGTTATTATTATCCAAGGACAACTAGGCCTTACAGTAGAATTTGGATTAAGAAATGGAAAATGGAAGTTAATAGTTTTACCAGACTGGGAATTGCTGAGAGGGGATTTATAATTTCTGGAGCACGTCAAAGGCCAGGCCACACAAATCATAACATGCTGCCTTATACAGCCCAGATACACCAACCATCCTCCTGGGTCTACTCTCCATTCCTGGAAAGCATGCAATCTTATATCAAGTGTAAGCCATTGTCTAAACTTAAAGGCATCAATGCTATCCAGACTGCCAGCAAAATTGCATTTTTGACACCTGGGTATATCTTATGCATTTGAACAGAGGTGGTTAAGATATTGGGGTGCATCATGACTGTCACATTAAGATCATTTCAAACCTGTAACTACTTACAAAATCAAGTATAATAAGTAATTTTCTGCTAAATATAAGGGCTTTTTGCTCCTGGCAATTCCAAATAACTAAGGAAGCACATATCCTTGCCACCAGAGTTTAAAAGCAGCCTAGATGAATTATTCTACTTCTATTTATGGGCTTAAATAATTAACTCCAACTTGTTCCAACATGCTGGAAATCATCAAAAGTTATACAAGGGTGCATGGATATTTAAGGCATCCTGACCCTATGAGCCAAAATTTCACTAATATTCAGTCATGGTATTGATTGCTGGCACATATTAGCTCACAATGAAGGTGCTCATGATGTGCAAAATGATGCTTTGTAAATTTCCTGATGCTGAAAGTATTCTTAATATATAACAATCACAAGTACATAATATGTGTACAAATATCATGCTTGTCCTTGGGTTCAACAAATTAGTATTTACTGATGGCAGGAAAAAAAGCACGAAGTTTGTGTCTGCCAGTGCGAAGCTTCCAAACTGGAAATTGGTTTTCTACTTTCTCACAATTTAATAATTTTCTTATAACAAGGTTGATGGGCTACCTGAATGATAACCTAGACAACTACCTACATTACATACTATACCTTCTCCAAAATCAAATATTTTAACCAAATTGAAGAATATTAAAGTGCCAATCACAAATGCTTCTAGCCGAAACAGTTAAAAAATACACTGGAAAACAAATGCTACATTACAGAATGTAGGTGTTAAGCTATGTATAGCTTACACAGTATAGCAGTAGTACACCACCATATAGCAGCAATACTGCTGCACTTTCATTTTATGCATCATGTAAATCTGATAACTCTCAAGTTTTGTGCACTGCCACCACCAATGACAATATGTAAAGAGCTGGCATTTCAAGAAATAATGTTGCAAGGATAATGTCAGGTAAAGTTACCATAAAATGTAATTGCCCCAACCTAGTTTGATAATACAGTAAAGTTTAGCCTGGCCTAAGTTGGGCACAGCCCATGGGTATGTATAGCTAAATGACATGCCATAGGTGTCCAAATCAGTTGATGGATTTTTCACAGACTGTGTTAAATACAGTCAGACAAAAAGACAGTTGCTGGGAAACAATCCTACACCACAGTTTTGATGCTTAGAATGTGCATTTCAACACTTTCCAGTATCACATTCAGCTTCCATACTAAACCTAATCCTTACCATCCAACTAATCCGAAAAAGAACAAAATTTTTGGATTTTATCATTCAACATATGCTGTTTTAAGACAGAGATTCAGGCTTTATGTTTGGCAAACCAATTCAAGTGAAACAACGACACAAAATTTGAGACACCAAATCAATATTACAGAAAAAAGTAAACCCAAAGGAAATCAAATGACGTATTTAATCAGCTGGATTGCACTCAGAAATATACCTAAGCAAACCGTTGAAGTCAAAAACCTCTTGAAAAACACAGAACGTTTCTACCGCCGGGGAAAACGTTTAGTTTCATGCATACATGGCTACACAACGCTCAGTAACTCGTTGTTAGTCACTGAAAACACACCACTCAGAAGCGAGCCTATTTCCGCTTACTTCCACCCCAGGAACCAAACTTACCCCAAACGATCGTCACATGACCACCCACAACTCACCAGAAACCACGTGCACCACATGTGCTGCGGATTGAAGCAGGGCAGGGCAGGCAAGTTACCGGGCTTTGGGCAACGCAGTGCAGGCGGGAACAGTCGGGATGTTGGGGAGGGGGAGGGGGTTCTTAGCAGCGATCTGTGGTGCCCAGAATGCGTTATACAGCTGCACCACGTGCGTTGATATTTTTTTATTTCACCCCAGATTTACAGTATTATCAGGCTTGTTTTGCAATTATATTTAATAATAAATGAAAATATTAAGTATAATTTGATGTAATTATTTTGATGCTCCATTAAACCAAAATACTACCTCTAAATAAATGTTCAACCTAGAGTCATGGTTGTATAATCTGTGAATTTGAGGAAACAATATCCAGGGCCATCGAATCTGCGGCACGCACGGCTACGAACAGGGTGCATATGAAACAAGAGCGTCAAGAACGTACCAGGAAATTAACCGTATTCATGTCTTACATGATGCCTGGCTTATTTTCTGCTTAATGTATTTCATGAATTTTATCATATTTCGTGGGGAACATTTTTCTGACGGAGTAAATCTTTTTATTAGGACGTCTCTCCTGATAATTTATTCATGAAGATTGGTAAAGGCTCAGCACTACATGTCTTCTGCTGTTTATGAGCTGGTCTACAAAAAAAGGCATAAATGAAATATCAAAAGGCCAAAGGCGTCTTCTGTGTGGTCTGCCGTTGTCGGTTGCTGGCGGAGGACGGCGGGTCAACAGAGAGAGGGAGAGGGCACGAGGACAGGCACGATTATGCACGAGTGATTATCGCCTTATCCTTATTCTGGAAGCCTCCTCGGCTTCCTCGTAAGGACACTCCAGCGTATTTCGAAATCATTGTTTTATTCGTGCTTCTGCGGAAAATGAGACGTAAATTTCAATAGCCGGGTTGAGTGTGCGTACTGATGATATCCTTTTAAGCATTCCATCGTTGTCGCTTTCTACCTACATGTAGATATTAGTGTATGCTGTGTAGGGAGTGTGTCGCGCTCTGCACGCCAGGTATTTTGTACTTGCGATTAATAACAGTCACAGGCATAGTCGCATAACAGTCACTGTCGACTCGAGTGCAACTGAAGTACGGAACTTAAATGGCTGTCGAATTTGTATGGTGAGTTCCACACCGATAGTGTCTACTGTGCAAAATATCACTGCGTCTCATTCAGCCTGTCCGCATCAGCCCTATCACGCTGTGAGATGGAGCCTGCTGGCGACGTGGCGGCGCCTGGCGATGCCCAGCTGAGTCTGGCACTCGAGTCGTTTGACCAGCTAACCTTGGAGCGGGATCGCCAGAGGCGGCGGCTTAACGAGCATGAGAATGGCGTGCAAAGCCTGCAGCAGCTGCTGCAGGAGAAGCGGGACGAATCAGAGCGGCTGGCTCGCGAGGCTGAACGCAGCCAGGAGGCTCTGGCGGCGCTGCAGCGACGGGTGCCGGTGCTGGAGGAGAGCTGCCGCAGCAGCCGCTGCTCGCTAGCCATGCTGACCCAGATGCGCGACCTGCTACATCAGCGACTCGACTCGGAAAAATGCACTACTGAGGAGATGGTGAGCAAGCTGGAGAAGCAGCTGGAGGAGGCCTCTGACCGCTGGAAGCGATACGAGGCCGTGTACATGACGGTACCGGCCTTCCGTCAGAATGTGGAGCTGAACGCGCTGCAGACGGAGGAGACGGCGCTGCAGGTCCGCCAGGAGCAGCTGGAGGACGACCGGCGCGCTCTCGTCTCGGACCAGGACTTCTGCGTCCAGCTGGCCAAGCACTGGAGCCAGGCACGCCTGCTGAGGGACGCCATCGAGGCGGCGGCGGCTGAGCGTCGCCGGTCGAGCCCAGCCGGCGCAACCTGCGATGACTCCGGCAGCATCTGCTCGCAGGGCTTCGGGACACCTCAGGCAGCCAGCCTGGGACCCAGCCCCATCAGCGACATGGAGACAGACGGCACCAGGTCGCCGGCTGCGCGCCGAGAGAGCCGGACCGGCCCCGCCTCCCCGGTACCGATGGATGTCACGAGCTCGCCAGAGAAGCGGGAGCTGCAGCGGCCGGTGGTGTCCCGGCCGGCCGCTGGCGCCGGTCAGCCGACAGGCGTCAGCGACCCGGCCATCCGCCACTATGGATAGGCCGGCTGTGTTCGGCCGGAACCAGACCGTACTGGCCGCAAAGACTCCGGATCAGATCGGGCTGGCTGCCCAGAGCCCAGAGCAGACCAGGCCGGCTGTGAGGACTCCAGACCAGGCCAGACCTGCTCCTCAGGGCTCAGAGCAGGCCAGACCAGAAGCGAAGGCACCAGACCGGGCCAGACCTGCCGCTCAGAGTTCAGAGCAGGCCAGACCAGAAGCGAAGACACCAGATCAGACCGAGACCTCTGGGCGGGCTTTAGCCGAGGTCAGACTATCTACACGAACCCCAGACCAGACCAGACCCATACCCGCTGCGCCGTCAGCGTCGTCCCAGGGCCTGCTCAGCTGGCGTGCCCCCGCGCCTTGCGCGCCCGTGCCGCCTGCCGCGCGCTCGGCGGCCTGCGGGCCGCCATCATTCCTGATAGAACTGCCGCAGCTACTGCGTCCGGCGCGGCCCCGGGCGGTGTGCCCCGCCAGCGCTGCCGCACCCCCTTGGCCGCGCCCGCCGGCGCCCGTCACGGCGGCAGCTCTGGCGCTCAGCGCGGGCGAGACCGCGGGCGCGCCGCCCTCGGTCAGCGCGGCTGTCCAAGACGCCGGCGATGAGTCTGATGAGAGCCGCAGGGGCTGGACGGCGCCGACTGGTGACGAGAGCCGTCCGGCCAGAGAGGCGCAGCCGGCCGGGTCGCCGCCGTCGCAGTCCACCGAGCAGGCGCCGTCGCCATCCGGGCGGCCCCAGGCCTCGCCGGGCGGCGGCAGCAGCCTGCAGGGTCGCCGGTACTGGCTGCCGATGCCGCCCGAGTCGCCGGTCGTTCCGCCGGCCGACGATGAGCGGCACGACTTCGTGAAGCGGCTACGCCAGAGCCCGGAATGGCACCGGAAGATGCCTCCGCCGCCGCCGCCGATGCAGCCGGCTGGCCGCCGGTCGGAGGCCGTCGCCCCCGGCGCCGGTCTGTCGCACCGCTTCCTACGGCCGGCCGTGCCGCCGGCGGCGTCCGTCGGCGGCCAGCGGTCCATCTTCGACCCGACGCCGCCGCCGAGTCCGGTTTCGAGCCAGGTCCGGTGCGATAGTCTCGTCAGCTCGACGCCTCGCTCGGCGGCGAGCCCCGCCGCCGCTGGCTGGAAGACGCCGGCGGCCAGCCCGGCGGGTGCTGAATGGAAGACCCCAATGTCGGAGCCGATCTCCGCTGGTCGTGCTGGCCCAACAGCTAGTGCTGGTTGGAGGACTCCGGCTGCTAGCCCCGCCGGTGCTGGGTGGAAGACGCCGGCGGCCAGCCCGGCTGGTGCTGAATGGAAGACCCCAGTGCCTTGTTCGATCGCCGCTGGCCGGGCTGTCCCAGCAGCCAGCCCGGCCGGTGCTGGCTGGAAGACGCCGGCGGCCAGCCCGGCTGGTGCTGAATGGAAGACCCCAGTGCCTTGTTCGATCGCTGCTGGTCGGGCTGTCCCAGCAGCCAGCCCGGCCGGTGCTGGCTGGAAGACGCCGGCGGCGAGCCCGGCCGGCGACATGCAACCCCGCTCGGCAGCGGCCATCTTTTCGAGTCCGGAGGCGGACGGTGGTCAGTTGGACGCGTCCTTCTCGCTGTTCGGTCAGCTCGGGAAGGAGGCGGCGCCGCCGGTGGGAGCCCAATCCAGCATGGCCCTCTTCGGCGCTGGCGACGCGAACACTGACGCCGACCAGACAGACGACTTCAACTTCAGCTTCTTCGGGGCAGAACGCGCCAGTGAGAAGGAGTCGTCGGCCAGCGGCGTGTTCAGCTTCTTCTAACGGCTCGAAACGTTTCCTGGGTCCAGTGTTGAGTGGTTTTGTTTCGGGGTTTTGCGTCGTTGCTGACGCTGCGTTGGTCGCAGGTTGTTACATTTCTACTTCCAAGTTGTGTTGTTAAACATAAGGGATTAGGCTTGTTTAGTTATTGGTTGTGCTTGTGATGGAAATGAATAAACTTCACCAAATGACTGCTGTGTTGTGTCTAAGCCACTTTATCTCGACAGCCCAGGCGACCTGATAATTTTTTGAAAGTCGTGACGGTTGTGCTATCCTCCAATCACCGCACTTCATTACTCCCGCATTGGGGCGTTGTTAGCCTTTCTGGTGGGGGAAAGTTTTGTGAACTTTTGGAAGGGCTGAACAGCAAGAAATAAGTCAACCTTCCCCAAGATATACCAAAAATTAATAGGTTTATTCCCTAAGTTGGCTCAGTGGGTTCCCAAAGTGTGGGAAGAAGCCGTAGATCCTAACCGAATAGAGAGTTTCACCAGCAGAGAGAGAGAGAGAGAGAGAGATACATATATATATATATATATATATATATATATATATATATATATATATATATATATAAACATATATTTTTTCTTCTTCTTTTAGTTTCTTAGCATACCGGTAGCTTATCACTAATATTCGCTTGGATAAAAGCATGTAGCGGAAATATCCCACCCGTCTATTCATGATCCTGTTCATTCTACGAAAAATTAGACTTTACCACCGTCTCATCTATATCCATAATATTCCCCGCAAAGACACTTAACACTACGAAAACTACACCCCTGCTGCCTGGCCAGTCATCCCGTTCCTTTCCTATTTGCATTTATGGACGTCCGGGCGGACGCAGCAGAGGAAGCAAAAGCGAAGTGCATGTAGTTGACCGCTACGAGTTTTAAATAACCATTCCAACTTTTAGAGCCGCGTACGACAGTGACTGGGCTGGGACCAACGTGCATCAAAGCGCGCGTATTCTATAGTGTGTTTTTAAGCTCGCTAAGACAAGTGTTGGACCAAGACAGACTGCGTACTCAGTGGAGGTGGACAGGTCCTCAACGAAAGGCCTGAAACAGCCAATACCAACCAGCAATTGGGAAAAACAGTGAGATATGGTAGTTCAGTGAGTCACCAGGGTGTCAAAGGTCAGAAGCTATCGAAGACGTAGTTGGGATCCGAGGTCATGGAACGGAGGTACCCTTATTATCATTACCCTTATGCCAGAGACGGCTTTCAACAGGGGCGAGGGGCGCGGGAATTTTGGGTTCAGAGGGCGTCCCCTCCCCCTCCCAACTTACTGGAGGATTAACACTGGCCATTTGAAAATTGACTGGAAAGAACTAACGAAAAATTGCTTTCGCCTGGGAAGCCTGTTACTGTGCAAGCCATGGGAGGTACCCCAGTGATACACGATATAAGAAGCCTATGATGTTGTTAGAGGGCTCGAAACAGGCCAGACAGTACACAGGGCGATAAAGTGGGGAAAGTAGTCAGATAATCTCAGGCAAGCAAGAGTACAGTTAAGTTGGGGGCCATGGGATAATTACCCAGCCTTTCCTCTCAAGGCGATTTCTTATATGAAACTAAAAACAATCCAGCGGATAGCGTTAATGATGTTAACACTACGTAGCAACTTTTGTTGTGCCTTGTTTCGGGTATGACATACGCTTTTTAAAGAAGTGCTTGGTGTCGATCCGACCAAATCTCTCAGATGTTCCCTGCGTATGGTGTAGAATACATGCATTTGATCCGGTACCGTATCGTAATAAATGCAACCAGATGTGCCATCGATATGATTTCCTTAAGCACTCTGCACTATGGCTTGAAATACAAATGAGCGTAAACTTTTTTCAGACAAACATTTTCGATGAATTGAGCTATTTTTGTTCTCAACTAAACAGCATCAAATTCTCCATTTTAGCCATTGAAACAATAATATTTTTGACGACTTTTCATAGTGATGTGGAAGTTTTATGAACAGCTGACTGCATTCATGGTCGCCACGAAACTACAAAAATCAATAATCCGCCATTAAAAGTCATGAAACGTTGCGCCATCAGTGAAAGAATAGCTTTGTTTTTCCTTGAAGACACGTGCTTATGGTGACAACAAACGGTTTACAGTTTTGTACCAGCTATTGTGTCGTTCTCTAGAGGCATTTTCCGCATTGGACTCCTCTTATCTGTTCGTCGATACCGCATTTGTTGTTAGCTGCCGTGGGTGTGCGGTGGACCCGTGGTCGGCGCCCTTGCAATCGTGGAAAGGATTAGAAATGTACGCCAAAGGGAAGGGATCAGCCGTCCCTTCCGACGCACAAGCGAGAGAAAAGTACGTATTGCACGAAGCATCATGATATTTATCTGTCGTGTGTGGTAACGTTGCGCACCACATACAGCTGCGTTTCTGCGTAATGTTTTGCCGCGCCAGGCACTGCTGGGTAGTAGTGCTATGGCCGGGTTTTTGTATTTAGGAATTAATGCTGTCTGCTGATGCAGTTGCGTGTACCTTCAGTGTAAATGCTTTTAAATAATATTGCGAGTGGATGCCCTAAATTTTCTTAGCATGGATTGCATGGATACTTAATGATTACCTGTGGAAGATTGAAGTGTGATTTAGCCAGGTTTTTGGATTGTCATTGACAGAATTTTAGTGATAAGAACATCCCAGATTTACTTATTAAGATGGACCTTAGATGTTCCTATTAATGAAACAAAACCATACCAAAGATATGTGCTTAAGGCTATGATGATTATTCCTAAAGAAGGCTTTGGAGCTGGCAGGTTGTTAAATATTCTGTTATGATCAGGCAGCCACTGATATGAAGACAGGGCAGATTTAGGGAATATTAATATGTTATTGTGGTAGCTATGTTATTTTATGACATGATGTATATATGTAGAAAGTAATAGGATGGTTTTCATTGTGTGTCAGCTCATCAAAATTGGCTTAATAGAGCAAGTTCCTTCATTTATGTCATAGCATCAGGAAGGGATGATGCCAAAGATGTAATATGTGATTATGGTGGTCCAGGTAACTGGAAAAATTTGTGTTCAAATATAGACAGTGTTGTGGGTAACTGTGAAGTTGAAAATTACCTTTTCAGTTGTTGACTAACCATTTTGCATTTTTGCTGGCCCTTTACCCACTTCACTTTCATGGAAGTTTTGGGCATGCTTGCTAGTAGTCTAGATTGCAGATCACTGCAATTTCAATGGAATGTTGACAGTGCCAAGCACCTAGTGATCCTAACAAGGGTGAACTTTGCCTTTCTGAGTGCCATGTACATCCTTCTGTGGTGATAGCTCCTCTGTAACAGCTTTGGAAAAATGGTGTAATAATGATTATTGCATTGTGCATATGATTGCAGGATGGAAACTATTGGTAGTTTTACTGTTGTGGGCCAGCACATGCTGCATGCTGCACAGTTCACAGCTGAGGATCTTGGTTGATTATTTTGGAAGCATTTTTTTCATTATTTCTCTGTCTTGTCACAATGATATCCTTCTTTCAGAAAGTTTATTTATGAGTATAGCTTGTTCAACACAATAATTTTCTCTTCTGTACCTAATTTTCAGCAGCCCAATAGTATTTTTTACTGAGTGATCATTGTCTAATATGGAAAAGTTTGAGTTGGATGTCCTTGAGTTTAAAAGGTAGTTTGGTGGTCTAAGCCCTAGCAGTGGTTTTAAATGGTTATAACCCTGTGTAACAGGCCTTCATGCCCTCCTAGCTTTTCAACATAAAACCAGATTCAATTTTTTAGGAACATTTATGGATCAAGTCTTAACTGGCATCAGTAGATCCATGAAATTCAGTGAATCTAGTCATAAATTTATGGTTGATGGCCCCAGAACTGATGCACATATGAACTGATATTACAGAACTGGTTTCCAAAGCCTATAATAGAACTAATACCATGTGATGTTCCTGGTGGTTCTTGACAGAATGTGTACAGATATTAACCTGTAGCTGTCCCAAATAGTTGTGGTGTATAAAGTTGATATCATCAACTGGTGTAGTCAGTTCAGGTTGTCATTCTAAGGAGAATACACCTTCGTAACTGCACAGAAAGATACCAGTTTCACAGGAGCTCAAACTGTCATGAATTGTGTTGCACCCCAAGCACCCATCTACAGAAATCAGCAACTCACTACCTGTAAAGGTACATAATCAAGGTTTCTGTGAGAAGAGTATGGCACTGCTGAGTTGGGTCATAATTATTGCTTTCTTTTGTCATAGAACATAAAGAATAGAAATTGAATAGAACATGTCATTACTTGCCAATAAATCTTAATTCTGTGCAAGGCAGTTGGGATGGTCAATAAAGGCATGTTTTTGCTTATAAGTTGTGTGATTTTACTTGGTAGATGTTTTAAATGTTACAGTAAATGGTGAGGCTATGCCATCCAGGGAAAATAGCCCCTGCACTTCTGGGGTTCAGACTTGTTTGCACTAGACATGCTTAAAGCAATTACATGTTTGTGGTGTATCCACATAACCAGTGGTACAGGTGGAGGTATATCCCCAAAAATGTGATGTGTGAAATGTGTACTTTGATGTGTTGGGTGGGGATATGATGGTCACAATTCACTCAGGTGAAGGGCCTGCCCAGACCAGAGCTGGAACAGCTAAGCATGTGCTATACTGGATTTGAACCTCCTGCATAGACAGGTTTGTATAAACTTTCTCAAAATGTGATATTTTAGTGCATTTTCATTAAGTTCCACCCCTCCCCTTTAAGAAAATAGCATTGCCCTACCTGTGTACTCTTACAGCACTTGATGAGGATAGCTCATCTTGACACCTTCTCACATCCTTATGATATAAAATTGCATTTTCTTCCCTGACAGCAGCATACTGTGGTACCAAGAAATTTGTTTTGGAGCACTTACACATCACCATGTGACTATGGCCAATGAAATGTAAAGTAGATTGTTTTTCAGGAATGCGATCATCTTAAAGATTCTCAAGTAGGGACTGCGGAACAGAATACAAGGAATGTTGGTACACAAAAAGTTGCCAAGGAAAATAGATGAACATGGCATGAACACGGCAGATGCTCTTGTAACAGCTTCTACATCATAAACACTGCAGCTGCTCCTGCGAAAACCCCTACAACGTAAACACTGCAGCTGCTCCTGTGACAGCTTCTACATCACAAACACTGCAGCTGCTCTTGTGACAGCTCCTGCATCATATGTGTCATATGTCTTTGGGGCTTCACGACGCACTCAGCTGCTGGGGCTATATGGCGTCGCCTGTCTCTCACCCTGGCAGGAAGGGCGGGCACCGGGGAATCGAACACCGTACCTCTGGTTTCCCAGACGCGCAGTGGTTAACGCAGATGCGTTTACCACAAGAGCAGCTGCTGTGTTTATGATGCAGGAGCTGTCACAAGAGCAGCTGCAGTATTTATGATGCAAGAGCTGTCGCAAGATGCGTTTTGCGCGATGCGCACCATATGTCGCAAGATGCGCACCGTGCAAGATCGCTAGCGTAGATGCGTTAACCACTACACCACCGGCACTCTTGCATCGTAAATACTGCAGCTGCTCCCATGACAGCTGCTCCAATGACAGCTGCTCCCATGACAACTGCTCCTGTATCAGTTCCTGCATCACAAACACTGCAGCTGCCCTTGTGACAACTCCTGCATCCTAAGCACTGCAGCTGCTCCTTTGACATCTCCTGCATCATAAATACTGCAGCTGCTCTTATGACAGCTCCTGCATTATAAACACTGCAGCTGCTCCTTTGACATCTGCATCATAATGAAGAATTCCCTAGTGATCGTCTCTGGTGACAGGTGTGGCCGGACTGACCTGCTATGGGTCAGTGATATTAGGCATATCTAGTTTGAATGCCAAAAGATTGACTATTCACTTCTTCACAGCTGATTAAAGCTTGACATGACTTTGCCTACCATTTGAAATTATTCTTTTAAAAAATTTGAGGGGGAGCAAATTGACCCATCAGGTGCATGTTAAACCATTGTACTGTGTTATCGGTACTGGGTTGGGAGCGATGATTGGATGTTGATGCACCCATCACATTACTGACACTTTACCCTTGTTCCAGGTTAGCGCTGTACGTTTATGAATACTTGTTACATGTTGGAGCTCAGAAGGCAGCACAAACGTTTTTATCAGAGGTGAGTGTTCGTGAATGGTCCGAATCACACGTGATCTCAGTGTAGTGGTGTACCGTACGATGTGTCGTCATGGTGACGTCATCATCGAGGGAACCGCCTCGGTGTGAAGTCTGTAAGAGTTGGATGTTGTGTGTGATGTGGTCTCTGAACCTCTACTGGCGGTTCTGATAATCGTCTATGTCGCTGCGCCTGTAGCTTGCACCTGCGTACCTGCGCGCACTAACAGATAAATAGCTTCACCTGGCTTTGTCATTGTGGTATGGCATGTTTGGCGGCATTGTTTCGGCATTGGCCCGGCTCGCACCCGATTTGTTTGTTAACACAATCTTCGTCTGTTTGTTTGTTTGTTGCGTTTGTTGTTCGTCGTGTGACATTCGTCGTGAACTAACAAAGCTGTGAAAGATTTGATCCTTTGAGAGGGTGCTGTAAAAAGGTGGTACGCGATTTTTGGGGGTGCAGCCGGACGGTGGAAGGCCAGTTATTTTGGAACCAATATTCTGGGCTTTGGTACGGTAAAGGAGAGGACCCGTTTTAATTAAGTTACTGAAGTTGATTAGTGAGTATTGATAATATTATTCGCAGAGATGCCTTAGCCTGACAGGCATAGTTTTGAATGAATAGTGAATAGCTCCAGGTGTCGAATTTGACGTCAACAACAGCAAGGTTCTACATGAAAGGCAGGCGGCTAATGGCTGACGGAAAGTTTGGCTTCATAAAGATGGCACCCGTCCCCCACGGAGTAGGGGACCCAATCTCTTCAAACATGTATCGGACGTGGGCTGTTGAGAGATTCAAGGACTCAAAGGACGACCCAGGCAATTACACACTGCGCATGTCGTACGCTATAGAAATAAGTCATCCAAAAATTCGGTTACAGTAGTATGGTGAGCTAAAAAAGCATTGCGGAATGCTTCGCACCGGATATATAATGGAATGATTCTGGAGAAATTAATGAAATGAATATTAATGCGAAATACACTAAATGATAAGTTGAATGATGATTCAAATGCAATGAATGCGAAAACTAGAAGAAAATGCGCTGGAATGTATTCCAAATAGGTGAGGATGATTTGCAAGATCCATCTTGGTGTCGCAAGTTTTGTGGTCGGGTGATTTATAATTAATTATGTATAAGTCATCATTCGGATTACACCGCTTTGCTAGGTTTCAAAACGCGTACACTACCCAAGACCTTTCCATGAGAAGTATTTTCACTTATCAACGAATTATATTTCACCCCCAACTGACGTCGGTATGACGAAGTGTAAAGCTTCAGTCTCGTGGCGTGGACATGTATGGACGTCGGTCCCTGTTGCAGCGACGTGCTTGCTCCTCAGACCTATTGTTAGTCTCCCCCTCTTTCTTTCTCTCCGCCTCCGCCTTATCCCTCGCCCCTTGCTTCCTCTCCTTTCTCTCCCTCTCTCCTGTGTCTTCGCTCCTCTCGTCTCTTCTTTGTTTTCTATCTCTCTCCATTTCTGTTGTCTTTTTCCCTCTTCCTCTTGTTTCTCTATTGTATGCTTCCCCCTCTTCTCCTCAGTTTCTTTGTGCCTGCGCCCCTGCACCCTGAGCGTTTTTCGTGGCGTTTCTCCTGAGGAGCGGCCCTGGTTTTTCTGGTGGCGCGGCCCTCCCTCCCAGCTGACCCCGCGCCCGTTTGACCCCGGCCGCCCGCCGCCCTGGCGCCGCCGCCGCCGCCGCCGCTGCTGACCCGCCCCCGCCACGGCCGTTGCAGATCCGGTGGGAGAAGAACATCACGCTGGGCGAGCCGCCCGGGTTCCTGCACTCCTGGTGGTGGTGAGTGTTGACTCGGCCGGCCGCCGTCCGCCCGGCCGCCCGTGCGCCTGCAGTCACTCCTCTCCCCCCCCCCCCCCCTCCGTCCAGCGCGCGCCGCACTGAGCGGTGGACGGCCGAGGCCTGGCCGCCGTGGACGGCCCGAGAAAGCATGTAAGACGTGACCCATTGGGGAAAATGGGCGCCCCAGAGTCTGCGTGCCGTTCAAAGAAGAATGTAACGCGTTGGTCTTACTGTGTAAGAACGTCGAAATCTTGCGTCACTTGTACGCATAAATGGGACATGTCTTATCTTTTATAGTTACGTGTCATATGCTTGTCAATGCGGACAGTATTGCTCCTTTGATATTCACAACACGATGACCGCGCAGGTAACGTTATCTACTCATCTCCTCGACTGTCAGTGAAAGGCGGTCGAAATTGACAGCGGTTCAGATTTCCTGTTTCTTAGCGAGCTGTCTGCTTTGGATGCTGGTTATACCGGTTAGGAGCTGGTGGGGACCTAGATTAGGCTTGCTGTGTCTCAAAGCTCCTAGCCTGAGCATCTCGAAGTTTTTCATCACACTCCTAAGCTGTGGTTTTTAACGGGTTTCCGAAGCTACTTTAAAATTGACGATTGGCAGACAATCCTCCGGCCGTGCTCTAGGAACTCATATTTTGCTCTTGGCCGCGGTGGTGGGCCGCACAGCCAGTTTGAAAGCCATGGCTCCAGCTGCCGGACCGGGCGTTTTGGTATCGTTCGGATATAGTGGCCAGCGTGCATTGCACCAGCCCAAGCTTGTTTATGTGAACGAAATCGCGGTATGCTTTGCGTCACGGGGTGCGATGGTTTGTCGTGGGCATGAGCGCGGGCGATTATCTCGTGGTGCCGGATGCACGGGACATGTCGGCCACTTAACTCGGCGCGCGTGATGTGGCGGGGATTCGAAACCCGGGCGCCACCTCTGCTTCCGCTCTTAACATTCAGTAAGACTCGCGGCCAGGTGAGGGGGCGGCGTGGGCGCCAGCTCACGTGGTGCCGCCACGTGAGCCGCGCGGCGGCGGCGGCGGCGGGGGGGGGGGGGGGGGCAGCGGACGTGAAGCCGACTGTGGACGGACATGTGGCAGCGCCGGGGTGGCCACACCCGGCCCTGGTTGGCTGCAGCGCAGGACGGCTGGGTTGAGAGCTGTGGGTTGTGGATGCACGGGTTATAGGCTGGCGGCGGTGCAGCGCTGATGGGTGCTTATGTGGGTGGATTGCTAGGTCGTTGGCGTTGGGACGTTGTGGGATTGCTAGGTCGTTGGCGTTGGGGCGTTGTGGGATTGCTAGGTCGTTGGCGTTAGAACGTCGTGGGTGGAATGTTGGGCCGTTAGCCGATTTCAGGCGGGATGACGCATGGTTATTTGCTGTGTTTTTACCCAGGAAGATATTTGATTTCATGTTTAGAATTCCACTAATATGTGAGCCGTCTTGTTATCTGGGCCGATGGTCGGCATGCCATATCGTTGCGAGGTATGGAGGTAGCAGCGATTCTTGAAAGCGATGTGGCCCTTTTCAAAGCTACCCCCCCCCCCCCCCCCCCCCACGATACGGCACACAGACATGGGTCCATAAGAGCCATGAAACCGCTGTAAGCCACCATCCAGTCGGCTTTCCCAGAACGTCATCTAAAACTGTCTCATTTGAAACTGGCGGCCGCCTGCGACCAACCATATTTGAAAGCTACTTTATGGAAGGGAAATGAAGGTGCAGTTGTACCACCGTGAATGCTCTTTGAACAAGAACCCGCTCATCTACAAAGGTGCTATTGTACCTAGCAATCGGTTATTTGTACGGAATAAGGAAGGCTAGTGAAAAACCTGACCTTCAGCGCCAACAAACGCGGAACAATTGAAGGATGTTTGTTATATTCGTCTTGCCTCGGCGGACAGCGCCGGCATAGTGCTGGCTTACATAGGTTTATAGCACTGCTGGAGCGCTGATGCCACTGTGGAGTACATGTGGACCTGCCGCATGATCCATCCAAAGGCCAGAACTGAACTGCAACATTACTGTGTGCACGGGATTGGGTCCAGCAAGAAACAATGCTTGTTTTCCCTGAGGTGTTTTATTTGCATTGTCAATTCTAAAAGGCTGGTGTGTATAAAAACATGCATTGACATATTCCTGTGCATTACACATAGTTGAACATTTGAACAGTTTTGTGTTCTCAGTGTTCATCAGCCTGGCAAAACGCCTCCAGTACGGCCCGATGCGCGCAAAATCTTTTCTCAAAATTCTATAATGGCCCAAAATTGCTGATAGCCCAAGGAAGGCACCCGGTGGAACGGACAAAAGGCCCTTATCTTGAAGATTAAAGAAGTAAAGCTTCTTTAAAGTAGGCTTCCGATTAAAATTAGGAAGGTTAAAAAAGTAGGCTTCCGACTCCGCTCCCCCCCCCCCCCCATTCCACTCCCTTAAAAAACGCGAAGAACTTGAATGTCTCCAGTTTTGCCCCGTGTTGTCCTCCGCAACACCATGGACTAAAACGCCGCCTAAATGAAAGCCGCTATGGCGTATTTGCCCCATAGGCCAGATGTTGATGCCAGAATGCCGCTGGTTTAGTACACGTTAAAGGGGAAACTCCTAGCAACAAGAACTATACCAAAGGAGTCAAAAGAGGAGGAAGTTTCAGACGACTGAAACTGGATGAGTTTGGGAACGGCAACTTGCGGAAGAATATGATAATAACACAAGACATTCGTCGCCTGAAGCCCAGGTCGAGATCACAACGCTCCCCCTGATCTTAGCGTCGCGAACACATCCATGGGGCGCATGAACTATAGTATATAGAGACCCATCACCCCCCCCCCCCCCGCCCCCACGCGGCACATTTCTGTAGTAGCATAGTGCCTTGCATCACTGGCAATGGAATGGCGCGCCGCTGGCTGTCTCGCGCAGCAAAGCGGCCATCACCGGCTGTACCGCGCTCACACCGGCCAGTCACGGCAGCGGCAGGTGGTCGCGTGCGGCTGCGCGAGAATGCCGTCAATTTGTTTTGTGCCACGCGACAGTGTTCCACCGTCGAGTGAGCTGTACGATGATTTATATGGCTTGGGCGCATGTGAGGATTCACGGCCCCTCCCCCTCCCCACCACTCCCCTACCTGCCGGACTGTCGAATGAGTTACGGCCGCCTTTTGTGGCGGACCTACCGCAATACCCCGCTGGGAAGCTGCCATGATTACCTACTAGCTCCTGGCTGAATGCCGCTTGCCTGCCAGGGTCTTAAATAGCACGTACACTCTGATGGGATTTCGATAAGTGCGGTGGACGCGAGGCCGCTGAGGCCACTCGCTTGTGCGCTGCTCCGAAGACTGACGGTGTTGGGCGATTCCTCGTGCCTTTTAAAGTCGTTTCTTTTGCTGCCCGCACAATTCAAGATTAGCACGTTCAGTCTGTTAGGCATGAGTCCTGTCCGGGTCGGGGCGCTCCGATCCGGAGATGTGCACCGACCCTTTCAGAAATGCCGAAGTCCGATCCGAATATTCGCCCCGCTGTGCAGTAGTGCGAGTCCGAGTCATTGGGCATTGTTGTCTTGTGTTATTATGACCTTGAGATCGAGTCCTGGTCGTGTGGCATCGATTGTTAGTAAAAATCTGAGTCCTGGGTCTTGCATCCAGGCCCCGGTGCTTTAAGCTTGAGGTTTGATATGAGTCTTTGGGCATTAAATCAACAGACTTTGAGCCCAAGTTCAAATCTTTGCATTTCGCTCGTTTCATGCCATGTGATTCCGAGTTCAGCCGTTCTGCTTCTCAGGAATTTTTGTGCTAAGACTTGTGTCCAGATGTTGTAACCTATGTGTACCGGTGGTTAAGTTCATGTCCATTTTTGGGCGAATTCGCGATCCAACTTTCTCCAAGTTATCTTTATGACCACGCAGTCGAATCGCCCGAAAGCCCCAATTGCTACCACTACTCTAAGGCACGCGCTCTTTATCAATTCAGCCGTTAAACTCAAACCGTACCGAGATCTCAAACTTATCCGAGCCCCCCGTCTCAAGTCGAAGACGCATGCGTTTCTAGTGTTATGCGTCTTGTCTTGGGGGTCAGTCGGTCTTATTTTTATTTTCGTACCGTTAACATCATTATATATTTGCACTACAAGTTATCATGCCGTTGCGAACATCATTGGATCAATAGATGACAGCTTACGAACAGAAAGGGAAGCAGTGTTAGCATTTTACGCGCAAAATCTATGTTCTGCCAGTGATTTCAGACGCAGCATTGACAGTTACGGCCGCTAGAGGTTATTTGAGTACCTCCAATGTGATTTGAGGTGACCATGTTTTGAGTTGCCAAGAAAACCGGACGTTGCGAGCAAAGTGGTGGCGCTTTCGTAGGCGTCGGTCGGGTGGGTATATCCGCGTCTCGGAGTAGAATTGTCTGTAAGCTGAAGAGCACGCTTAGGTCATTTAAGGTTATTTGACGACCTGTAACCGATTTCAAGTGAGGATAGCGGGAGTGAACGAGCAAACAGGCCTTGCGAAATTGATGGTAAAGGTTTTGTGAAAACCGACGTTTTTCGCGAGCAGAGAACTCTCGTCAGACTGAAAGGCAGTATATAAGTAAATGGGACTGGTGTCATCATTCCATGTCAGCGTACGTCAATTGACCAAATAAATGGATGGTACTGAATTAATGGGTGAAAGCTCTTGCAAATCGGTAAGGTAGATTGGGAGCGTGGCATTATCAGCGGCTGTGGTCAGTAAGGTATCTCGTTCTGGGCGTCCCAGACATTCCATGGCAGCCGATTGAAATCTTATCACGTATGGTGCCATGGCGGTCTTGAAATGGTGAGGGTTAGCTCATCATCTCCGCGATAGTAGTTGTGTCTGGATAAAATCGTAGATGAACTTGTTTAATGCATCGTATTTTATGGGCGACAAAACTCGGTTTTAATGATAAGGTGGGTCATAGATCAATATAGGTAGTTTTGGCTATTTTGATCAGTGTGCTGGTATTTAACAGTATACACTAGGTGTCATGATGCCAAAGCCAACTAGTCAAATATCATCCAATGAGTTCAACGAAATACCAATAATCATGTCAATGTGTTGAATATCATCTCGTGGCATGTCTTCTGTGACCAAACTCTAACGAAATTTTGGAACTCATTTTACTCAGCTCTAATGTATGTGTGACTCTTGACCAGGGTGGATCATGCTGTGCAAGGAATGGACTGAGTAAGGTCTAATTTGGCTGCAATCTGCGCTGAGTGGCGTTATATGTGTATTGCACGTCACACTTTTCTTATGACGTCACCTGCACACACATTCCTTGGGCTACGCGCGCGCGTCAGGCGCACCGAATAAACGTCCGTGTGAGCAGACCTTTGGGTTTAAGTCTGAGTCCGAGTCCAGGTCCTTGGCTTTTTTTTCTTGGCTATTTCAGCTGATAGGTCCTGCTCTGGGCGTGATTCGTCCGTTCAAGGAATCGAGTCTTTGGGGCCGACTTCCGAATGGTCATGACAATCCGCAATCGACTCTGAATCCGGTCGGATTCTGGTTCACACCCGTGAGCTGTGCATTTGACACATTTACCTAACGACCAAGCCAATTTTTATACACACTTGCTTGAAGTTTCCGTACTAAAATCATCATTGCTTTTCTCGAATAAGACAGCCAGCAAAAGTCGCATGGAATCCTCATGTTTGAATCCGACATGACAGGGGAAATCGTTAGACATGCCTTCGGTCAGAGCGCTGCCTATTTTATGTATAATTAATAGTGGGTATGGGCATATAATTTACAACGCACAAGCCAAAGATAGCGCTGCGTTGAGAAGTTTGTGTTTGTGCCCATGCAAGCCAATTCTGAACCTAATCTCAAAAACCAAAAAGTAATGGTAATGAAGACCTTACAGTTGCATCAAGCGACGCTATTTCACCGCCTTCATGCATCGAGTTACAAACATGTGCAATGTTCATCCCGCCAAGAATCAGCTGATCGCGTGCGCCAGCCAGTTCATAACCCACGAACACGGACATGGAGCCCACAAATATTCGTTACCGGAAGCGTCAGAGCTCGCGCTCCACCGGATCGCACGACTTCCATGGCGTCGTAATCATGGCCAACTTGGGCGCCATGTGCATCAGGCTATATTTTGACCGGCGGAACCAGACCAGAATGATCAGATCTGACGCCGCAGAACAGAGCGGCGCTTTCCTCCTCTGGTCTTGCGCGGTCGGCGCCGTCGGTGGATTGGTCGGGGTTCGGTGGTGGTCTGTGGCGCCCTGCAGCCTTCATGGACCTGTGTGTCTGGAGACACGGCGACTGCATAACCCCCCCCCCCCCCTCGTACTGCTGAGACGGGCGATCGTCATCAATACCAGATGAAGGAACAACAACATTGCGAGGGTTCATCCACAATTTAGGAAAGTGTTGTTGCCGGCAGTGGGGTGGTTTCATCTTTGGTATCCTGTTTTGCTTCGGATCGATGCAGACATTCTCGTAGTGCTATATGTCGTCGTTTTTGTACACTGATGGGACTGGCAAATTATTGATTGATATGGCGTACAGCTTTAACTTAAGTTATTCGTAGAACGTGCGTGCATATGTGCAACCGCGAAAACCATGTGTGAAATCGCCCTTTATACGATGCAAACGGGACCAGTGCAGAATGCAGAAATTGTTGTTGTCGAAATCGATTTGCATTTTGGCTGCGACATTGAACGCCGAGGACTGTCGTGACTGAAGCGTTTGATGGGCCCGCTGAGATGCGTGCTGCGAATCCGCGGGCTGATAACGGCTCCATAACTGATGTTTGTGCCGACCAGTTTTTGCCTGTTGACAGTGTATTCTGGGACCTGTACTGCGCGGCACCGGAGCGGAGGGAAACGTGCGACCACTCAAGCGAAGCGAAGGCGTTCCACGACTATGTAAGTGCCATCACCGCTGGCATGCCCTCCGCGGCAGCAGCCGTCGGCGGCGTCCTCGTCTGTTGCGCTGCTCCGGCTGTCCGGACGGCTGCTACATGCGGCGTCTCCCGCCGCCCGCCGCTTCAGTCCGCAGCCCCCGTACGGCCCATCTGTTGTAGCGGTCCCGTCGTGACGTCCGGGCCTCTCTAGGCTCGAATCCCGGCTGGTGCCGATTTTTCTGCGCATTCATCGCCAGGACAGACGTTCTAGTTTGAGTTCATCGGACGTTGCGCCGGCTGCGCGTGCCGTGTCTGTGTTGCCGCGCACCGGGCTGTTGGGGCCGGCTCTGCCCCATACCTTCGACTGCTCCAGCCCGCCGGTGCCCGCCTTCTGTCGTGCACGGCCGCTGTCGAACGCTGATGTTTTGTCCGTTCTTCAGGGTTTCGTGAACGCCGGCGGTTACGGTGTTAATGGTATCGGCCACGTAAGTACCGCAGACTGTTGCATTGTTCTCACGCGTGCACGCGTGGTAGTTTGCCGACACCCGTCGGCTTCCCCCTCCCCTTCTCCCCCTATCCATCCTCTTCTCTACCTTCTTTCTTCGTGTTGCGTGCCGTCTCCGTCGCCCTCGCGCTCGTCGCTTTTTCGCTCGCTCCCCATGATCCCCCCGTGCTTGCAGATCCCACCGTGCACGGCGGGGCGCGTGCCCCTAGCTGAGCTGTCAGTCAGCCCGATCAGCTTGGCGGGCCCGTCGGTTATTCCGGGAGCGACATTAGCTGTGTGGCGCTCCGATCCCGGCAGCGGTCCGAAATGTGGAGCGCCTGGGGAGGGAACCGCGGGTGTTTAACGGCAGGTGAGCCAGCGCCACGCCCGGCGTCCTTCGGTGGCGCGGTGAGCTGCACTGGTGACCCGGACTGGGTGGCAGACGACTCGCGGCGTTACCTCGGCGGTGGGTCATTTGGTGGATTAGTTTGCGGTGCCTGGTTAAGGCGTGAATCAGTTGTGGTCGTCCTGTTTGGTGTGGTGGACTGCGTGTATGACTGAGGCCGTGGAGTACCTGTGAATGTCACGTTTTCACTTCTCGGTAAAGTGTCAAGGGTCTGTACGGCGTGCATCCAGCCCGCGTGACCACATGACACAGATGACTGATTGTGTGATCTATTCGAACACTGTGTTTCCCCATTGTTGAACGTTTTGTCATACGAAAGGCTCATATAACCAAGCATCTAGCTTCTGCGATTTTGTGCTATTAGCATGGTCGTTGTGGGTCGCTTTGTTCTCTAATATGGGCCATTGCAGCCCAGCTTGGCCTAGTGCCAATATGGCCAATGCAGACGGCGCGCCCTAAAACCCAAATCGTCACCAACATTGACCTTTTGGATGATGTACGTGAGCCGTGACCTGTCTCATTCGTGCTGATTCGATCTGGGTAATCACCGATGAAGAAAGGCTTGCTTGCTTGCTTTTACTGCTCATGGTTAGTTTGCTTCGAAGTTTTCTTTTCTTTCTTATTATGGTGGGAAGGGATAGGCAAGTTTAAGAGTGCAATGCCCAGTCGTTATGAACGTTTGCGAGGGATTGCCCGAGCTCCTGCGCGATGGGCAGCCTCGCCTGTGGCCGGATGTGGGTCTCGTGTGCTGTCGTGGCCCAGCCGTCCCCTTTCACCGGTGCTCAGCAACGGGCAATGCCGTCACTAAAAATGGCTGATAGGTTCGCCGCGGGAGAGGAAACGGGCAAACTGCCAAAACGTCGCGGGCGGACACCGGTGGTCGTTGGCGGGGGTCAGGAGGGGGGGGGGGGGGGGGGGGAGAGCAGTGATGTACGCAGCGACACCGGCTCGCCCGCGCCGCCCGGCCCGACTGCGGGCGGGGCTGCGGCGCGGACCGGGCAGGGAACCGCGGCGGCGCTGTCCGGCGCTGGCCGACGCGTCGGGGGTTAAGCGCGCCCCTCCCGCGGACTGAGGCCGCTGGTGACCTTGCCCAAGGCTGCCGACAGGGAAGCCCGCCAAGGTCACGCGGTTGTCTGCGTGGCGCGTCGGGACGGGGCGCCGTCCCCGGCTGCCGGCCGTGCGCCGGCGACACAGCTGGCCGCCGCGGTCATTCACTCGGCTCCCGCGGCCAGTGTTTATGGCAAAAGTTGGCGGTGGCGAGTTCGGCAACTGATTACACGCCGCTGAATGGGTGCCTCGTGCCCGGACCGCGTGCGGCAGCGGTGGGGGGGTCCGTGACTGGCGCTCGCTCGGTGGTGAATGACGGCCCAGCAAAATGGCCCGCCTGACCGTCGAAACGACGCAGGGAAGGTGCGGATGACTGACACTAGTCTGGAAGTCTGCAACCGAGCCTTCGATGACGTCAAATTTGTCGGCACGTTTGCGGACTATGAACGATGTCTTGGTGGAGCGTTATTTTCACGGCGCTATGCTGTAACCTTGGATGTGATGGGCTGTTTGTTGAAAAATGGCTTACCCAGAAAACAGGCTTCTATGGGTGTTCGAATATCCTGGCTAGGCCATGTTCCTGATCCTGCTGCCAGCCCCATCATTGCTATGTTTTGACTCCTATTTGGCGACTGCGCCGTATGTTGCGCATATTGGTGGCTTGAAAAGTTGGCGTAAACTGAATTGTTATCCGTAACGCTCGTGCTTTTCAATCTTGGGGACGGTTGAATGTAAACTGTATTCGTTGGTATGAGCGTAGAGATGTCAGAGGCTTCGCTGTACATTTTGAAGCTATGATTTTATGGCAGTGGTCACAACCGGATAGGGAACAGCCTGGAAAATCAATAATGCTGCCGAGACTTGGGGAGGCCAACGCAAGCTATTCTCGACCGTATTGATCGGGACAAAGCCTGGATGCGGGGCTGGCAATGTAATCCGGTAGGGACGAGAATCGCGTGCGGTGGGAATGGTAGATTTGCGTTGGGCCCGGCTGATCGGGATTTGCCCAGGGTACGGTTGGCGTGGTGCTGTAGGTACACCGTGACACAACAGCGCAGAGCACTCTTCGTCTCTCCATGAGCGACGGAAATCCGTTTCACGGCTCCGTTTCCCTCGCACATGCTGGACCCCACCAACTTAAAACGCTGTCAAATTTAACAAACTGCACGTGTATTGCTGGCGGGCGGGCTTGGTACCATTTAAATCGGCGGCGTCCCGGCGTGGCGGAGCGGCCAGCGCGACGGCGACGTTGCAACGCTATCTGTCCAGCGTGGCGTCTTTGTCGTGGCCGGGAGCAGCTGGACGGGATAGATGGCGCAAGGGAGCCGGCCAGCGGCGATCGGCGCCATCCGCTCTCCGTCCACGCGCGCAGTGGGTCAACACCCGAGCTGCGGCGGGAGGGGCGACGCGGCGGACCGCCTCTCGCCGCTCATCTCCCTGCAGTCACGGGCGGGGGCGAGAGGTCGAGGGGAGGGGGACGCCGGCACACACGGAACCTCGTGCTCGGCGGCCGGGGCTGCACCGTGCGGCCGGTGGCCGGGGGCGGGCGGTACGCGTTGGTTCGCCCCTGAGCAGCCCTGCAACAGGTGTGTGTGTGTGTGTGTGTGTGTGAGCACGTCGGCGGGGCGCGCGTGTGACCGGGCGCCGCGGTCGCCGCCGCTGAGGCCGACCCATCACTATCGACCTGTGCACGTCAATAAGGCCGGCGCGGCGCGCGGCGCGCGGCGGGAGCGCGACCGCCACCGCCCGACCGCCGGCGACTGCCCTCCGCCTCCTCCCCGATCAATAGCGTCTTGGGGGGGGGGGGGGGGGGCGCTCATGAGGTGGGCGCGGCTGTGCGTGCCGCCTCGCGACCCGGCCCCAGGCCGGCACGTGGCGCCTCGGGCCGGGCGTGGCGCGCGCGCCGCGGAATCGATGTGTACCGGTACCCGTGACGTCACGCGCCGGGCGGCCGGCCGGTCGGATGGACAAACAACTGAGCTGCACGCACGTCACGTGACGACGGAGGGTGCGGCACGCCCGCGACTGTCCCGTCTTGTCTGGCCCGAGCTGTCCGGTCCTGCGCTGTGCTGTCATATGTCCTGTCATGTATTGTCATTCCATGCCTGTCCTGTCCTGTCCTGTCCTGTCCTGTCCTGTCCTGTCCTGTCCTGTCCTGTCCTGTCCTGTCCTGTCCTGTCCTGTCCTGTCCTGTCCTGTCCTGTCCTGTCCTGTCCTGTCCTGTCCTGTCCTGTCCTGTCCTGTCCTGTCCTGTCCTGTCCTGTCCTGTCCTGTCCTGTCCTGTCCTGTCCTGTCCTGTCCTGTCCTGTCCTGTCCTGTCCTGTCCTGTCCTGTCCTGTCCTGTCCTGTCCTGTCCTGTCCTGTCCTGTCCTGTCCCGTCCCGTCCCGTCCCGTCCCCTATTTCCCGACTCGGGCAGGGGGGGGGGACAATTCGCCTCGGCATGCCCGGCTTGCAGCGCTCGGGTGAGGCCGGGCTGCAGCGACGGACCGGCGCGTGGCCGCCTCCGCCTCCGCCTCCGCCGCCGTCTCCGGCTCCGGCTCCGGCTGCGAGCCTGGCTGGACCGGTGCACGGGCCGGCCGGGCTCGACCCCGCCGGCCGGTGGCGGGCTGGCCGGCCCGGTGGGCTGGCGGCCGCTGGCAGGCAGCTGCAGGCGCGCGGCTCCAGGTGGCCAGCAGAACAGGGGAGCGGTGGCAGCGCGTCGCCACGGCAACGCCAATGGTCGCGATGTGCCCCGATGTGTCACAGCAACTTTCCATCTTTCTGTACGTTTTGGCATGGGTGTGTGGGGGGAAAACTTTTGTACCCACATGCACATTAGATGTGGTTTGACACTTCAAAAGGCTGATGGAAGTCGAGGAAGACGTTTCCATGCTCACGTCAGGATATAAGAGAAATGCTCTTTGCCGTCGAAGCGAAATCTTGGTGATGTTAGTTGCTAGTCGATATGGACTTGATTTGCAGCGCCGTGAAAGCAGATTGCTGCACTGCCAAAAATGCCGTGCATAGTGTCCGAAGTATTAGAACTGAGGGCCCTCCTTGCTTACAAAATTTGTTGGCGAAAGCATTACAGCGCCGATCAGAAGAAGCTCGACATTTCTGGGTCTATGGGATATATATGATTGGCAAAGTTAGTCCACTTCGGCGCTGACGAGATATGTCCCGTACCTCCCCTGATGCTGTTGTCCTGCTCCTCCGTTGATGGCCGGCAGAGTCGGTCCACGCCGGCGCTGAGGGGGGTATGTCCCGTACTTCCCCTGGTGCTGTTGTCCGGCTCCTCCGCTGATGGCCGGCAGAGTCGGTCCACGCCGGCGCTGAGGGAGTATGTCCCGTACCTCCCCTGATGCTGTTGTCCGGCTCCTCCGCTGACGGCCGGCAGAGTCGGTCCACGTCGGCGCTGAGGGGGTATGTCCCGTACCTCCCCTGATGCTGTTGTCCGGGTCCTCCGCTGTTGGAGATGCCCCGACTCCGGTCTATTCCGGGCAGGATTAGTCCGGGTCGCATCGGCGGGGTCCGGCCCACGGTACGGCTCCAGATCGACCCGCGGCCCGAGCCGGGGTGGGGTGGGACGAGGCGCCTCCTGTCAGGCCGGCGCGGCGTTACGCCGGACATATGTCTTGCTGGGCACCTCCGCCAGCGGCGCCGACGTGCGGAGAACCCATGCTGACTTGGTGGCGGGACACCATGGTGTAGAGTACCCTTTCTGGGATTTGTAAGTCGAGTGCCAAAATGAACTGGCCAGCTCGTTTGGAGGATCGCTATTTCTTCTACGCAATATGCAGGCTGTGGCGACGCTTCACGCCGGTAGATTGGAGCAACTTTCTCTGCCTTTAGAGCACCATGCAACAGTGCTCTGCATGGCGCCAGAGCCAGTGAATATATGTTGCGGCGTGTTGAGGGTGGTTGTTTGATGTTTGGTTTTGCGGCTTGTGGACGGTGTGTCGTACATCGGTGATGCAGCATGGCGTCGGCCTGCGTGTTCAAGTTGCCGAGAGATGACGGCGTGTATGGCGGTGCTGCACGACGGTGGAGGTCCGATCATCCCTGGGGCAGTCGGTTTGTGTGCTTGCATTTGACTGTTTGGATGATCGTTGCACGTCTGTCCCCGTATTCCGGACAGGCTCAGCTGCAGCGTGGCCAGCCTGCCGTCTGTGACAGGCGCGTGTGCGTGTGTTGCAGAGCGCGGGCGCGGCGCCGTCGCCACTGGGTCAGATGCCGCCCGGCGAGCTGCAGGGTGCCATGCCTCCCGGTTTCTTCCCGGTGAGTGCGGCCGGTGCCCGGCTGGGCCCGCCGCGGCGCCGGCCGGGGCGCGCCGGCCGGCCGGCCCGCTGACCGCGCGTACTCGCGAGGTCGTCAATCGTAGTAGGCGTTCACTGATGCCGCGGAACGGCCGGCCGCGCCGTCGTCGATAGGTAATTTGCTTCTCCGCCCGGCCGGTAGGCGGCAGAGGTGCGCCACGGCGCTCTCGGTGTTGTTAGTTGGGCTGTCGGTGCATAGATGGCGCAGGTGCTTGCGTGTTGTAGGAACCACCACGCGCATCATCGTTGCACGGGGCTGGGGCTGTAACAATTAACACCACAGCGGTTCCGCCTGGGGAGGGGCAGCCATGCACCAGCCTAATCAGCCAGCTGATGACCGCTGCGAGCGGCAGACAGCGGGGCGCCCTGTGAAGCGGCGTTTGTTACCGCACACACCCCGCTCCGGCGACGCTGGCGACGAGCTCTTGTGCCGGCCGCCTCGTGCGTCTCCTGACGCGCCGTACTTGTGCGTCGCTGTTGCAGAACTCCAACATGCGGCCGTCGCCGCAGTCTCACCCGTCGTCACAGTCGTCACCGCACGCGCCGCCCGGCCAGCCGGTGCCGCACGGCACCATGATCGCGTCACAGGTACGGCTCCGGCTCCGGCGCCAGCGGCGTGGCTGGCCGGCCGGCCGGCCGGAGGCGGCCGCCCGACGCCGCCGACGCCGGTCGGACGCGGATGGCACGACGGCGGTGCCGGGTCATCGCTGGGCATCGCAGAGGTTATGGGGGGGGGGGGGGGGACGTGAGTCGGTAGGGGGTGTACTGAAAGAGAAGAGAGCGGTGGGTTGGCTAGATAAGTGATGCAGTTGTGCATTGCGATGCTTCGAATTTACTGGAAAAGTTCGGAGACGCAAGTACTCATATTGATCCATGCCTACCAACTAAGTTTCAACTAATAGAAATGTGCTAGGATACCTACGGTATATGTAGAATGTCACAGGGTTCCCTGTAAATGGAGTCCTGGGATATTTTGGGGCTCCTGGTACATGGCTGCCAACTTGTACGCCGTCTAAAGGCAGAAGGCTTGCACACCATCAGGGTAAATTGCACTTCGCCTTTTTGCCTATGGACGGCAGTGTTGCATCAGGATAAGAGATCGTTTGCAGCAGCCGCCACGGCAGCTGTCGCGGTTCGGCCACAGTTGCCGGTCTCGCCGTTGCGTCAGCTGGGTTAGTCGGGATCTGCCACGGCCTGCCGTCGCCAGCCACGTTGTCCAATCTGGGAAGACTCGCCAAGCGACTGGTCAGCTCTTGACATTCCGCTGGCGGAAAGCGAGGCACCGCCTTGTGTGTTTGTGTGTATGTGTGTGTCCTGTGTGTTGCTGCGGCCGGCAGGGTGACCGTATCGATGACGGCCGTTTCCGTGTGCTTGCAGTACATGTCTCCTCGGTTTCCTGGCGGGCCCCGGCCGGGTGTGAGAATGCCCGGCAACATGGCGGAGTTTAACGGGGTGAGTGGTGCGACGGCGCGCGGCTCGTAGGCGAGGCCTCGTGCTCCGGGGCTCGGCCGGACTGGGCCGCACGACCGCCGTAGCATTTCCGTTTGCCCGCCGATGCGTCGCGCCTCGTCTTGGTTGTTTAGCCGACGGCTCAGTGTCGCCATCCGGCCCGGTGCAGGCTTCACGTGGGCCTTGCCGACCAACGGTGCCCAGCGGTGTCTGTGGCGGTGTGTCAGTCAGCGGTGCCGATGGTCCCGGCGCCGTACTCGCCACATGTGCGCCACGCATCGCCGCCGCCCCGCGCCGCCAGCGTGTGTCGCCGTAAGTGTGACACCGTAAGACTGACGCCGCCGCTCTCCTTTCAGCCGCCGGGCCAGCCGATGATGCCCTCCAGTATGGACCCGACGCGGCCAGGTGAGCGTGGGCGGCCGGGGCGCGCGGGGCCGGGGCCGGGGAGGGAGCGGGCAGGACTGTGTGCCGGCCGGTCAGACGGTCGCCCGCCGCGCCTGTGGACGCCCGTGCCCGGCTGACTTTAATGCGTGCTTCCCCTCTGTCCGTAGGCGGAGACGGCGAGTATTTAGGTTGGCAAGGTAGGCTGGAGTTGGCGCTGGCTCGCCGCCGTCCCCCTGCCCCGCGCCTGCCTGTGTGTGGGTGTGTGTGCGTTTGTCCGTCTGTGTGCCTCGTAACGCCGTGTGGCGAGCCGGGCGTCCGCCAGCCGCCCCTGTCCGGCTGACCCGGGTCCTGTTCGGTACGCGGGGCCGGCCCGGCTTCTCCACGTAACGCGCTAGATGCGGGCAACATCCAGCCGGACAGTTACACCGCCAAAAAGCCCCGAGTCGTCGCCACCACGGGCGGGGGTGTCGCGTGGCCCGCCCACCGGTACCGAACAGGGCACGGGCGCTGGCACTCCCGTCCTGACCGGCTCCGGGCAGCTATTCACGCAGAGCACGCTTCCGGCTAGCTTGCGACACTGTGGGAACGCTTCCACATCCCCCTCCCGCCCGCTTCACGAGCTAGAGTGGTTTGGACACCAGCGATGTCTGGGCGTAGACGTGCGGGGCGTTTGAGACGGCTTCGAGCGGGTGGTTCGGGTCGGTCCCACGCATCCGGTGTGGACCGTTTGGTCCGCGCCATGTTTTGACGCTGGTTATTTGGCTCCGATTAACAAGTTCGCCTTTCACATTTTTGGCGTGACTTGCAGTGTTGTGCTGCTTAAATAGCTTTGCTGAGCATTTTCTTTGCGCAATTTGTTCCCTCTTGCTCCATTTTGCCGGCCTTTTCCTAATAGCTTTTTTGCCGTTGTGTCCTTGTATTTGCACACCCTGTCTTTTCGAGATTTGGTCTTTTTGTACCATGCACGTAGTGGTATTTGTGGCACCCATTTGTGGCACTGAATGGCAGCCTGCACCTCGATAAGTCCCACATATCTGTGTCCGTCTCCCACTTATCTGTGCCCGTCTCCGTATTCTCCGTCGGTGCTGCCGGTGTTACGCCAGCTGCGGGTACATCCAGACTCAAACTTCGTCGAACGTTGCTGTAACACTGGCTGAAAACCATGCGCCTTTCGGCGCGAGCTCGTCGCTACCATCGCCAGCGCGCTGACACCGCCTCTGTTTCAGGAGGTCCACCGGGTATGGGACCTCGCATGGTGGGCCCGCGGGGCCCGATGGGCCCGGGCATGGGTCCGATGGGTCCGGGCATGCAGGCGTACGGTCCGCCGGGCATGCGGGGCCCGCCACCGAACGCGCTGGGGCCGGGCCCCGGCCAGGTGCCGATGTCGATGGCTGGTCCCGGCGCGCCCCACAGACCCCCACTGGCCGCACGGCTCGTCGGTGAGTACCGGCCCGCTCGCCGCGCCGCTTCGGCCGGCGGCGGTTGTCCAGTGCCGCCCGCCCGGCCGTCCGCCGCCAGGTGTGCCGATGCGTGGCGCGTGCGGAGGGCGGTATCGGTGCCGGTTATATGGGCGGTGTGCGCTTGTGTAAAGACGCGGTACTGCAGCCGAGCAAAACGCGGCATGAAAAAGGGAGGCGGGGAGGCACACAATGAGCGTAGCCTTCTAGGGTACATGTTTCCCTGATATGTCATGTCATATCATGTCATGTCATGTGTCATCATATCATATGTCATGTCAGTCATGCTTGAACGAAGGTCCGTTGCAGCCTCCGCGGCGTTGTTCGCGCCACAGTCCCGCGTACGATGCCGTTACCACGTGTGCAGCGCGTGCGGTTACGCGTGGTTTGCGTGGCATGAGCCGGCCGATGTGTGTTGGTCGGCTGCGTGGCCGCCGCTGTGGTGGTGGTGCGCTGGCTGACGGCTCCCCCCGCCCCCGCTGCGCAGGTGCCGCCGGGGGTACCGCCCGGGCCCGGCACGCCCATCATGCCCAGCCCACAAGACCACGGCCCGGCCGGCGACCCCATGTACGGCATGATGAAGCCCGTGCCCGGCGGCGCGCCCTCCATGCACGGCGTGAGTACGCGGCCGGCGCGCGCCGGTGTGGGTGTGCCGAGGTACGGACGGCGCGGACCGCTGCCGTCGTCCGTGCCGGGCTCTTGCGAACGGTTCCGGCCTACCCCCGGCTCACGCCACGTCCTCAGACTGTCGCTGTCACCGGCGACGATGCCGACGCGAAGCATCACCGGGTGCAAAGACGCTGACGGTTGGGTAATTGATATCTCTCCCACTTACGGTATGCAACTGTCCAGAACCGTCACGCGATCGAAGTGCTGGACACCGCAAACGGCACGATGATGCCATTTTTACGACTGGGCCACGGTGTTCAACAGAGGATAAATGCTCCTCGTTCATCTCGTCCGGCTGAGAGACACTGTTCAACCCCGCTGTGGTTTGCATCGGTTTGTGTGGTGAATTAAGAAACGCGTTCCAGACCGAAACGGTTTGATTTATTCAGATTTCACGGTTTAACGTTCGGCAATCGATAACATGTAGCTTACGTGATAATTTTTATGGGAATGAGATCTGCCTTGTGATTGGAGTACTTAAAACTGGCCACCAATTCGGCTTTGGTGTGGAAAGCTTTTTAGCTCAGATATCTAGGGAAAAATGAGAAATAACGCATCGAAGTGACGTGGCATAGAACGTATCCGAAAAGCATCAGAAGTTACCCGATTTTGTGTAAAAACGCGCGCGCAAAAATGTATCTCCAAGAATGGTTCTGGTCACGATTTGCATGTCGTTCCCTTTACTGAAATCCTGCCCTGCCTTCAGCCGTAGTGTGCAGCATAAAAAGGTGCAGATTTGGGGTTATAAGTTTTTGTTGCGCTGTTCTACGAGCATCCGTTAATGAGTGAAGCATTTATTAAATGATATACGCACCAGCGTACCATTTCAGACGATTAGGAATACCTATCCCACTTTGATTATGGGATACCGCCGTAAGAGCTTGAGAAACTATTGAGCCAAAAGCCGAATGACGGGAAACATCACGCGTGGCAAGATGTTTTGTCACTGTGTAAGCCCAAAGCTCCGTCTCTTACATATCTTCTGTGGTTGGATCTTTGTAATGGTGTGGGGCCCGGAGTATGGTCAGGAGGCTGGAGCAGAAACGGGCCGTGCACGTGCGCGCGGAATAACGTGCCTCCGGATTGGTGATCGGGCCCCGTGATAGATGAGCGAATGATATGTGCGGCAGGGCCATCGGTCTGTGGAGGGGTTGACTGCGCAGACGTCATTATGATCCCCAACCTTAATGCCAAAATGGCGTGGAAATCTGTGGACACTGGATGTACGCCGATCAAAGCGACAAGATACCACCCGTTCTGTCCGGGAAATTTGGTGGGCAATGTTGGGGTCCCAGTTTAGTGCTGGTTTCTGATTGCAGCGCGCATAGTTAAGGGAATGATGGGCAGGTTTTCCCATGAAAACTGAGTAATGTCAGGGGAGATGTGCAACGATGGAAGTCGAAACATGCCAGTTTTTCTTCTGCAGATAGCGTTTCATGCTGACAGTAATATCTGAAGGATCGAAGTACTGTTACAAACTCCAGCTGAGTCATCTAATTGATTTATTTTCGTTCCTTTGAACGAGATATAAATGTGGCGATCCAAAATCGTGGACGGCATCCCTGGCAAAATGTTTCATGTCTTTCAGATAGAATTACTGAAAATCGAGAGCGCTCATACTGATGCTTTTTGAAAATCACTGAACTATGAACGCGAAATTGGTTCGGATATTGTAATTATTTGCTGCTTGCACAATTGCAGAGTGGATTCCTTGCCATGTTCAACACAACCGCTCGTTCTCTGGCCATAATGCATGCACCCACATATCTCACGCGTGTTACCATTGCTATAGCTTGTCTCGCAAAACAGGGCAGAAGCGGGTTTAAGAACGTTGCCCGCATCATTGCTTCGCCTACATATCGCATGAACATATCAGTTTCGTCGTTTTGCATGGGCGTAAGCGGCGTGGGCGACTGACACCCCTGTCATTGTGCGGCGAAGATCTTTACCCTGCCGACTTGGCTCCAACCCACCCGGTGCTATTTAGTGTCGGTGTTGCGGGATCTAACTCTGCGCTGCCAGCGCCTTCTTGATTCCATTCCGCTATATGGAGATTGTTATCAGCTTCTCACGAGCCATCCATTGCCCTGAATTGCTCCTGTCTGCATTACCAGGCATGGCTTCTGTGTATGCCGACCTCGCCCCGCTATTCTGACTTGGTCGAATGCACCATTTGATGTATTTTCACGCGATAGTGTAAAGGAAGGCGCGCGCGTCACGTTGGTTAAACATCTGTGCAGCTGCGCAAACCAGGGTGAATGAAGTTCGGCGGTTTATCGTAATTCCTGTAAGACCTGTCCTTTCAATGCAGTTAACGGCAGGCGTCAATTCTTTGAGAAGCGTTGTCGTCGCCACTGGGGCTTTACGACGCACTGGGCTGCTGAGGCTGTACGGCGGCGCCTGTCTCTCATCCTGGCGGGGAGCGGGAGGTGGGATATGCCGGGATGGACCTGCTGACTGTTCAGTCATCAGTCTTACCCGCCGGCAGCGGCTGTCAGCGTCGCCACATCCGGCCTGGCTCCGGCGAGCATCGCCCCAGTTAAAGGGAGTGTTCTACATTTGTATAGGGATTTGCACTGTAATAGCCATCTTGAAGATCATTCGGTGCAGCGTACAGCCCTGCCCTTATTAAGACCTAAAGCCCTCGAGTTTCTGGGCTACACGCCCGCCGAGCTGTGCAGACTATTTCGGGAGACCATGTCAAGGTCATTCTGGCATTCAATGTGTCATAATAACGTCTTTAAAATCATGCCATTCCGTTATCCATGCGGCGATCAAGGCTTATAAAAATACGATTGTCGAGTCGTTCAGTTCGGCGTTCGGGAGCATGGTTGCCAGATATAACGGCCGTCAATTGGTTCGCAAGCGATGTTTTGCAAGGTACGATGCCGCAATTAAACAATGGCGTGTTGAAGAGCATATCTACTAAACAGAACTTGCATTGCCTAAAGCAGAGTTTCTACTATAAACTATACCAAGAGTTAGCAGTGAGCTTATTTCATCATATATAGTGCTTGCTTCAATATCTATGTGAAAAATTCCCTTTAAGCTCTTCATTTATCCTCGTCAATCCTTGTGGAGGGTATGATACGATTCGGCCCGGGTTACGAAGGAACCGAACGTCGGGGTGGTTTGTGCTCATGTGGATCGTCCGTTGCATTTTCTCATGTCGAAGGAACTAACGTCATTTGAGTTAGGTGACAGAGAAACCAAACATCGGCACGGCTTTGTCATTAGGTTGCTTTAAAATTGTAAGGGACCGATTGCTGCAAATTGCAATTGTAGATTGCTGCAAAATTCTGGCAGCAGCTAGGTGGTGCCAGGAGAGGCTTGCTCAGTTGGGCTCTGCCATGTCTGATTTGGCTTGGTTCGCGTTTTCACGGCGCGAAAACTCGGTACATCCCATTGGGCGACAACGCAGCGCACGGTTTTGTTCCTGACGTCAATGGTGCGGTGAATATGCCTGACACAAAACACATGACCATAACCATAGCTGCCACCAGTGCTTGACACTGATGTTACGGGGATCGGATGGTGACGGGGCCGCTGCACCCGTGGCCTGCGTTGCGCTCGCGCGCGTCCCGACCAGCCCGTGAGCGGCGTGTGCGTGCCGGCCGGCAGGAGTACCCGATGACGAGTATGCCGGACGGTCCGCACCCGCCCGTGATGAACGGCGAGATGGACGGCATGAAGAGCTCGCCGGCCAACGGGCCGGGCACGCCACGCGACGACGGCAACAACGGCGCCCTGCAGGAGTACAGCATCGCCAACTACGCCGGACCGCCCGAGAGCAATGTGAGTGAGCCGGACTCGCCGGCCGGCCGGCCGGCGCGACTCCGGCCCTGGCAGTGGTCGCCGGCGCGGCACGGCTCCTGGGAGTGACGCGGCGAGCGGCGCCGGCCGGAGACACTGCATGCCGAGACCGGGAGAGAGAGGGACGCACGGACGCGACGCTGCATGTCGGCCGGCGCGCGGCCGCAGACAGAGGGAGAGAGAGAGAGGGCACGTGTCGGACGGCCGGCCAGCGTGGCGCCGGGCCGGTGAGGACCGCGCGGTGTTCGTGCCGGCTGCGGCTGGCGCGGCGAGCGGACGCTTTTACCGGGCCCCGAGCGCGCCGAGAGGAGAGAGGCACCTCCGACCACCCCGCCCGCGGGCACGACCTGAACTCCCCGCCCGCCCCGGGCGCGACGAGGGAGCCGCCCGCCACTCCAGTGCTCGGCTGCGCTCTGCTGTTTTGACTGTGGTACTCACTGACCGAGAATGGTTTCCATCAAATACACAACACGGGCGTTGTTGTTGCCTTTATCGGGGCCGGAGAGTGGAGCGGGTGAGCGCGCGACTCGGTAGACGGGGCAGGCTCCGCGGTAGATGGCGCTGGGGGCGGCCGCCGTGTGGCGCCGAGCGTCGGCATCGCCCCTACCTCGAAGCCCCGTGGAACTTGCTGGTAGCGCAACAGAAAGAGCACGCATTGTATCGGAGAGCTGAGGGATGGTCGCAGACATGCAACCAGTGACAAGATTTGCCTCGGGCGCATTGCCAAATGGTACGTTTTGTCATCGTCTCAGCCTGATCGATTGCTGGCGTAATTATTTCCCGCTGCTATCATGTGACGACCAGACAAAGACTTAAAGCCCGCTGAGGTGTATACTGATGTTCAAGATACACCACCTTGAATCTGCAGTGGACTCGTTATCAGTTAACGCAGGTCACATTTGCGCAGTGCTATCTCCGGCCTGCCTGCCGATACTCGGGGCCTGTTTGACCGCTGCCCGTGTCCTGTTAACTATGCGTCTGGGACACGCTAAGCGATCCCGTCTGCTGTTCAGTCGCTGGTATGATCCAGGGAGTGAAGCGACCGATTCATTCCCGTTGAATGTGAGAGTACTTAGAATACATTATCCGACGAGGCAACGAGCGACATCGTATGCAAACGATCGAGGACATGAGTTACGCGAACGGCCGGCAGAGGATGCCGTTTAAAATGCCGGCGATGTGTGGCCACGGAGCTGCATTCTTCAAGGGGCACGACAAGCCAGTAGTGTCGTCGCACCCGGCCGTGAACGTTCTGGTCTCAGTCGGATGCGCGGTTTAGAGGGTAAAAATATCGAGCACTAGTTTGACTTTTCGGAAGCGTGCCGGCGGCGGCACTTCATAGCGTCCGAGTATGAGAGCGCAGTGAATGTCGTTGCATGCTATCTCAGCTTCTACTGGCGCGGTGCTTGACCATCAAGTTGGCACAACGGCTGTAGCAAAGCCGGCAAGGCCTACAAAATACACAAAATCGAAAGTTGGTTGGCATAAAAGCATACCCCTGATTTAAAATAGCTCGCGATCAAGTTTCGGGTTGATGCCTTGTTGAAGTGCTTCTCACATTCTTACCCGGGAGCCGCCCGTACCCTCCTGCCGTTGGCGGAGCCTCACAACGCTGCCGAGGACGTGGCCTAGACTGGGCGGGGTCCTGCCGTCGCCGCGGATGCCCGCAGGGCTAGGGCGGCAGCACGAGAGCCGACCCGCCGGCCCCTCCGTCAGCGTGGTATGCCAGCTGCCCCGGGAGCCGGCCACGCGTCATGATCTGCCGCGCCCCAACAAACATGACACACCCGGGTTAGGTGACGGACCGCCTCCACGTGTCTGGACACTCACCAGCACTCCTCTTGCAGCGCCTCTGATGCGGCCTGGCTGCCTGGTCGTCACGGCGTGCGCGCTGCGCTGCGAGCGGCGCGGGGCCCTGTCGCCGCCGGTGCGGCCGACCCTCGTAGCCCGCACGTCCGCCGCTCACAACTCCCCCTGTGTCGGCAGGACTCGAACGAGTCGGCGGCGATACTCAAAATCAAGGAGAGCATGCAAGAGGAGGCCAAGCGGTTCGAGAAAGAGGGCGACCAACCCGACTACGGCGGCTTCATGCAATAGCCGGCCCGCGGCAGGCCCCAGACTGCAGTATTGCCAGTCCGCCCGCCGGCCGCTGCCGCCGCCGCCGCCGGCAGTGGAAAACAAACGTGTCCATACAAGTGTTTGAGACTTGTGCGCGCGCGCGGCAGACGGAGAGATAGGGAGGAGAGCGTGACAGTGCGAGCGAGCGTATGCGCGGATGTCGTCGCGAGTGCGAAGAATACGTGAGTGAAAGGGTGGGAGAGAGAGAGAGAGAAACCTATCAGTGTTGTGGATTCCATTTGGTCCAAATATTTATAAGTAAGCGTAATGTGTTTGTTTTATTTAAATTAATTGGATCGGATATTTTCCTTCTTTGTTGACTACCTTACGGAGAGTACAATATTTGATTTATTTGATATAAAGAGATGTTGATAGGTCAGTGTTGACTGCTGTACATTTCGGATGCCGCTCGCGAACAATGCATGCTTCTATTCTGAGGACAATGCCTTTTGCATCTCATGAGCCATTTTGTGTCGTTTTGTGTTCATAACATTCTCATCGCGTCCGCTCGCCGGCATCCCGCGACCGCAATTGTTCTCCGCACCGGCTTTGCGCGGCTGCATTTGTTCTGCGCGCGGTCCCGACCTGTCTGGTGCGCCGCCCGGGCCGCGGCGTCCGCTCGCGCTCCCGCGAGCGCGTCGCCCGGCCGCCGGATCTGAGAGCTTCTTTCGACGTCGCGTTCTTGTTTGTTGTGGTCCCGCCGTGCCAAAAGCACCGTCGGTTCGCGCGCGCGCGTCCCTGAGTTGTGTGGCGTCCGCCTGGCCGCCGCGCGCCGTGTACATAGGGGGAGGCGCCAGCGGCCGGCGGCGCGCCGCCGCCTGCTGTCTGCCGCGGTGCGGCTCTGTACGCCGCAGGCGTCCAGCCGGCGGCGCACGTGAAAACGAATCAAAATCGTTTCATTCATGGTTTGTCCGAGCCTTTCATTTTCATGTACAGCACAAGTCCAAGTTGTTGTAAATATATTGAAAAGAAGGCGTCCGTGCGGCCTGTGTGGTCACGTGACCTGGTCCAGCCGGGCGGCCACGTCGCTGGGGATGTCCACCGCCTTGAGGTTGTCCACGCCGATCTCGGGCTCCGTCCTGTCGGCAGCCGCACTGACAATGACAGCAGAACACGGGACAACACCGGCCACGGACCGCCGATCAGTCGAGCAAATCACAAGAGCAATCCAGTCACGGGCTGCGGAGCAACACAAACACCACAGGACGTCGACCGTCAGCCAATAGACTGCGCTGAAGCGGTACCAGCAGGCCCGGCGGCCGAACCAGTGACGTTCGCATACCAGACCATGACGGGTCCTGGTCGTCCCATGTACCGTTATCACTTGACTGCACCTTCACTAAACTAGGACGACTGTTGTACGCTCAAATCCCGGCAGGCCATGTCTTCACAGCCACAGAAAATCATATTGCAGTTCATTCTCGCCTTGTCAGTGGCGAATCTGGAGCATCAGCCCACTTTTTATCATCAAGAAGTACGGGGATTACGGGAAATCTTTCGCCTTTGCATGAAAACGCAGTTTAAACTGAGAAGCCAGATTGCTATGCATCACGAGAAAATGGCTCTTGAATGCCGATTTGCCAGCCAGCCTCTTGCATGCCGGACTGTGCAGAAAGACATGTGCCACGTGATCAGGAATAACAACAGCCAACGGACACCGGTATGGCCGCCAGCCGCCGCTGCTACCCGGTTAACAGTTTGGTGTGACATTACACAAGACATGATGCAACGGATCTGTCTTGACCAAATCATAATACCCCGACCTCTTTACAACAATAATAGATGCTGTAAAAACGCCCGGGGTATGCTGCCCAAGCATGCTTTGTCCTCTGCTGATAGCACTCAGATACGAGACTCACTTTAACAAGGACGAACACGTTACAATTGCGTCCCGTTGCAGACGTGACACCGATTTTCAACCTGCCGCCACCCTGACGAAGCGACGAGTAGCCTTCCGTGACGCCGACGTGATCAGGTCGTCACATTGGGCGGCAAATCCTTGGGCCGTTATCCCAATCGCGACGGGGCCTCGGATGTCGGGCCAAATAGATTTAGTACACGGCTGGCCATTGCCTTAACCAGCGCAGACCGACCGGCACGGTCCGACGCGGCGCGGCATCGCGTCTTGTGATCCGTGCCACCGGGTCCACCGGAACACCCGTCAGAGACAGCGAAGCAGACGCGCGCCACGGGGTCCACCGGGACACCCGTTAGAGACAGCGAAACAGACGCGGAAACACGGGGTCCACCGGAACACCCGTCAGACATCAAAGCAGACGGGGCAACACGGGGTCCAACGGAACACCAGTCAGAGACAGCGAAGCAGACGCGGAAACACGGGGTCCACCGGAAACCCGTCAGAGACATCAAAGCAGACGGGGCAACACGGGGTCCAACGGAACACTTGTCAGAAACAGCGAAGCAGACGCGGAAATACGGGGTCCACCGGAACACCCGTCGGAGACAGCAAAGCATACGAGGCAACACGGGGTCCAACGGAACACCCGTCAGACAGTGAAGCAGACGCGGAAACACGGGGTCCACCGGAACACCCGTCAGACAGCAAAGCAGACGGGGCAACACGGGGTCCAACGGAACACCCGTCAGGGACAGTGAAACAGACGCGGAGCCACGGGGTCCATCGGAACACCCGTCAGAGACAGCGAAGCAGACGCGGCGCCACGGGGCCCACCGGAACACCCGTCAGAGACAGTGAAACAGAACCGGCGCCACGGGCCCCACCGCAACACCCGTCAGACAGCGAAGCAGACGGGGCAACACGGGGTCCACCGGAACACCAGTCAGAGACAGCGAAGCAGACGGGGCAACACGGGGCCCACCGGAACACTAGTCAGAGACAGCGAAGCAAAAGCGGCATCGCGGGGCCCACCGGAACACCCGTCAGAGACAGCCAAGCAGACGCAGCACCACGGGGCCCACCAGAACCGTCAGAGACAGCGAATCAGAAGCGGCGCGGCGCAGCTCCGCCGACGCCAGCTTGAAGCCCACTGCGCAAAACACCCCGCTCACCACGGCCAGGCATGTCCAAGCGGCGATCACTCGCTCACATTCCCTGTACTATCCAGACGCGTTCACTCAAACCAGGATCACCACACGCCTGGCGAGCTGGCACTAGCGCCCACGTGGTCTGCCGCGTCCCTTACTTGATGAGGATGTTGACCAACTCCTCACAGAGCCGCAACGCCTCCTCGTCTGTCTCCCACTTGTGGTACTCGCGCAGGATCAGGTAGGCACCCTTGCCCTGACCAGCTCGCGCGAGTCTGTCGTCGCGCACAGCTGCCAGCGAGGCCGTCGGTGAGTGCGACGCGTCACCCAGCACCGCTCGGGGGCGCGGTCGCCGAGTGGTTGGCGCCTTGGACTCCCACGTGGGCGCCAGGGTTCGAATCCCGGTTAAAACACGTTCGGTCGCGACACTTTGAGGACACCGTTGTCGGACGCGCCCGAGAGCCGATGTGTGCAGCTTGGGCCTCCGACTGGCTCGCGCGCTGATCGGTGCTACCGTGGATGCAAGTGTTCAGACGGTACCCAGCCGTGCGCAGCTGTCCAAGCCGGGCGGATGACGCGTGTAAACAAGTGTCGGTGTTGGACACTTGTAGGCGCAAGAGTTCACATCGGGAAGCTTTCAATGGCGTCATACTTCCCAGCGCAAAGTCGTGAGAAATGTGTGGGTATAAATGTGCATGGTATGTGAAGGAACATGGAGGGAAACAGAACCCACCGATACAAGGACAGCAGACATATATGGAGAGCAGATAGATATTGGCAGAATTCTAACAAAAAAAAAACGTGAAAACAGGCCAGCAAAGAATGTCAGAATAAAAAATCATAGCAACAATCCGTGATAATAAGGCTACTGGCCGGCGGCATGCATCAGATGTGAACGGCACGCCACACCCGGCGATAGAGCGATGAACTAACAAACGCGTCACGTGACGGGACAAAGGGGGACGAGACGACGCACAGGAAGCAGCGACGCCTGCAGAGCACATGTAACATTCTCCCACCATTTGCCCCACTGTCATTCTGTGTGTATTTCCTTAGTCTTCCCTCATCGCCCGATACGGCCATTGTAGATGGCATGACACCGTCCGCGTCCGAGCAGCGTGAGCTGCTACCTTCCTTATACGAAGAAGTGAAACGAATACAGTTTATTCGTTTCACTTCTGTCCCATCTTTCCGGCTCAGCGGCCTTGTTCCCATGCTTCCCCTATTAGCAGAGATCCCACCGGGCTTTTCTGTCCCTCACCCCGAATTATTCAGCTTGGGTCTCAGGGGTGTCCAAGACATGTATGCACACTGGCGCTCACCAACATCGACGTCACGAACACCCGCCCAGCGGGCGTTCTCTGGGAACAGTGCCAGCCAGCACGGCCTCGCACGTCGCGATACCGCACGGTTCTTAGGGGGGGGGGGGGGGGGGTGCTGCGAGACCTCCGCTCGGTGTGTGCACCGAGGCGCCAGAGAGCCGGCGTCGGGAGAGCTCTAGCCGGGGCAGGCGGCCATCGGAGCACCGGCTCGGGTGAGGTGAGGTGAGGTGAGGTGGTGAGTGAGGTGAGATGATGAGATGAGGTGAGGTGAGGTGAGGTGAGGTGAGGTGAGGTGAGGTGATATGAGGTGAGATGATGAGATGAGATGAGATGAGATGAGATGAGATGAGATGAGATGAGATGAGGTGAGGTGGGGTGAGGTGAGGTGACATTAAGTGAAGTGAGGTCAGGTCAGGTCAGGTGGCTTCACATCAACGCGCACCTGTGTCATGGCCTCGAGGAGGATGCGGCGTATGTCGACGTCGGGCTCCCGCGTCTTGCTCTCGTCCATGTACTGCAAGTCGACGGGCAGCTGTTCCATGTCCTCGTCGTCGTACGGCTCCGGGCCGGTCAGCGGCGGCAGCAGCAGCCGCGGCAGCAGGTCCACCTCGTCACCCAGCAGCCACAGGTGGCTCTCTGCGGCGGCAGAGTCGCCGCTGACGTCGGGCCGACAGATGGCACGGACCAAACACAGCCATATATCTGCTGATGTGGTTAAGCGGCGAACTCCGAGATAGGGGCAGCGTACAATCATACAAAAATAATTGAGCATGGCACAACGCCACCGAGACATCACATGCAGCATACATCATCCATCATAACACGTGGATGTTAGCCTTCACCTCCGACGCGGCAAGCACGGCAACGGCACGGCGACGCCAGTCAACGTCGCCTGGCCGGACCGTTCATCATTCGCGCGGCAGAGCCGTGCCTGGCTCGCGTTCTATCCGCACGATACATGCCTGTTTCGAAGCAGCAGTTCTTGATGGCGCCGACGACGCCTCCTCGCCGTACCAGTGACTCCTTGTACTCTGTGAAGGGCAACAGGCGCGCTGAAACAGCACTCGATCCCTGCTCAGCATGTACCTGTCAACAGAATGGTGCCAAAGCTGTACTCCACGGGTAAGGTCAGACGCCGAAACAACCAAATGGAGAGCTCTGTACTTTGCGAGGCAGCATGGCGACACTGACACATTTATGACGGCTGAAGTTTTAGGGCGCGCCGACGTCGGGCGCTGGCATAATACGCGATCGTAGTTCGTAGGTAACCCGCTGACAGAATGACAGACAATGGCTGACAGTGGCTGAATGACTGACAGTGGCTGAATGGCTGACAGGGGCTGAATGACCGACAATGGCTTCTCATGCTCGGTGCGCACCGGGCGGTTCATAACAAACAGCAGTGACAACACGCGGAAGTAGGACCATGAGCACAAGCCCCAGCACCCTTGGGCACTCCAGCACCCGCGCGTCAGCGTGACCGGACATGAGCACACACGCCGCTACGAGCGCCGTGCCGTCGGCGCCCGAGGCTCGGCGGCGGCCGTACCGGCGGGCCTCGGGCAGCTGGGTGAGGTTGGACAGCAGCGGCCCCAGGTAGTTCAGGTGACACCCGGCCGTGTTGTAGTCGCGCTGGCAGAGGGCCGTCACCAGGTCGTCCACGGTGACAGGGCCCTCCTCCAGGCGGCGCCACAGCTCGCGGCACGGCGCCGGCGCGCGGCTAAGGTTCGACAGCGTCATGCAGCAGGGGTCGGCCAGTGCGCGTCGGGCCGCGCCGCCAGCCGCAGCAGCAGCGCGGCCGTGTCGGGCCCGGGCGCCGCCAGCAGAGGCTGCGCGGCCGCCGCCCGGCCCGACAGGCTGAGCAGCGCCAGACTCGCGTCCCGGCCGGCCGCCGCCGACGCCTCGTCGGCCATCAGCTGCTTCAGGCGCGACAGCAGTTCGGGCGCGGCCATCAGCTGCCGGCAGCCGGCGTCCGAGCCGGTCAGACCTGCCGGGGAGGGGCGGGTCACGTGGAGCGCCGCAGCCGAGGCGAGCGGGCGGCCATCGACGGTACAGGAGGGGTCTGTGGTGGAAGGGGGGGGGTTACATGGGGCGCCGCCGCCGAGCCGAGCGAGCGGCCATCGACGGTACAGGAGGGGTGGTGGGGAAGGGGGGGTTACATGGGGCGCCGCCGCCGAGCCGAGCGAGCGGCCATCGACGGTACAGGAGGGGTCTGTGGTGGAAGGGGGTGGGGTTACACGGGGCGCGCCGCCGAGCCGAGAGAGCGGCCATCGACGGTACACGAGGGTCTGTGGTGGAGGGGGGGGGGGGGAGGGGTCACGTGGAGCGCCGCCGGCGGAGCGAGCAAGCGGAACGACGGTACAGGAGGTGTCTGTGGTGGGGGGGGGGGCGGGGGTCACGCGGGGCGCCACCGCCCAGGCGAGCGAGCAGCGACCAACGCTACAGGCGCGGTCCGTGGCGGAGGGAGGACGCCAGACACGGCGGGCCTCAGATGTGACACAGGACCAGTCTGTATGGACAGGTGGGTCGAGATATGCCTGGTCACTGATACACATGGATATGTCTTGCCGCTGATACATCTGGAGTCGGCCTTCAGTAAGAGCTGAAGGTCATAACAAATCCAAACTCGCCATAATCCTGTGGAGCTCATGCAAGAAACATGGATTCTAGATTTAAGACTACCATTATTTGTGATGTGCTTAGCACAACAGCAAACCATCCCCTATAAAACTGTTGTCACATAGGAAATAAACACATTAAACCGCATCACCATTTGAAGCCAAGTTGTACTGTTCAATGTGGTAAAGATCTCATCCCAGATAATAGCACTGTTAATGGATCATGATCATCACATACCAAGAACATGCTGCAGAGCAGCAGCCTTCACATCTTGTCTGGCCTCAACCTTCAGGAAGCGGGCCAACTCGCTCAAAGCCTCATCACTGAAAGGTGAAATCAGCACATTCAGACATCATAGTTGAGCAACCTTAATGAACAATCTTACAAGCCTACAAATCAATAAAACCAATGTCACTAAGGTTGTATCAGATCTTTCTTGCTTTAATATTAATGCTTATGGGGTTTGGTAGGACCTTGATTTACTTGGCTTCTAATATTTCAGGTCATGTCAAATGCTGGCTAAAATCATTAATTTAGGGGCATGAATGCTATCGCAGCCACGGTATCCACAAATCTCCATTAAAAATAATTTTGATAAGGCATAATAGGATTTTACTTAAGTCAAGCACAACCTTGTTTGGCAGACTTTTGTTTAATTCTGCCCTAACATACCATACAGAGCAGGAGGTGCATTCAACTCTTGATTTACAACATGATATCCTCTTCATTAAATTTCAACTGCTTAAAAGGCATGGATTCAGACTTACATCTAATCCAAATGACTTCATTACAGTCATGATGGTTTACAATGTGAATGTGCACTTTTACCAGCACAAAAGCCCAGAATTGAAAATATGACTTGAAGCAAATGATAGCAGTGACTTGATTCTCAACTAGTATCATGTCACATTTTGTAGAAATCAAGTCTGCCCTGGCTAAACAAGACTTCACTTGTTTCTACACTTGACCAGGCCACTCCCAAGTTCATCCACAAGCAAGCTGTTTGGCAAGTCTGCTTCCATACCCATATGAAACCAATCTGGGCATTTGTAAGATGTGCGAAGTATGAAATATGAATATGTTACCACTTGAATCATCAGTAATCTAATTAATAGCTAATCAGGTGTCACATTTCAGTAGCCAAATTATTGTCAAACAGCTAATCAGATGCCAGTCTGAAAAAACTACTCACTGCTGCCCAGGTGACACATTATGGCATCTGTGTCTGGTATTGGAACACTGAACCTCTCTCTTGCATGCCATACTCAGGCCAGGCTGAATGACATTGATTTTGAACTATTTGTGAGAAAAATGTTTATCAAGCATTTTAGCCAGAAATTATCTAAGCAACAAAATAATGCCTTGAAAAATTAGTTTTCTTTGTGCTTAAGTTGATGGTAACCTTGCACCAAACTCTGAAAGCCTGTGCTGACAGCATATGTGCCTTAAACTCATTGCAGCCACATTGCTGCTACACTGGACATGTATTTTTGCAGTCTGGCATCATTACAAAAAAATTATTCAAGTCCACACAACAAGACAAGCCAAAACCAACACTTGACACACAGATTGTCAGCAAACAAATGGTGCAGCAGCATAAAGTTGAGAGTTCAAAGTTCAAAAACTTGTGACCCACACACACAGGAGCAAAAAGAAAAGGGCTATCCACATTTATCCACATGAGTTCTTCATTTCCACATCTGAAAGATCCACAGAATTTGCATGCCAGATCATAACAACTATTATACCTGTACACCCATCCTGTCTGCTGATAAGTCAAGATTGGAGCAATTTGAATATCGCTTTAAAAGTGGACTAAAGAATGCTCACCTTGCAGATGGATTGTTCAAATACCCCTCAAACACAACGCAAACTTCTTAATGTATAATGACTAAAATGCAGGAAGGTACCAAAGCACACGAGCGTGAATCTTTTCACGGGCCACAGCCAGGTTCCAGGATTGCCAGAGCCCTGGCAGCCTGATGGTATATCAGTCGATTCCTTGCACGAGGAGCTCTTCACAATGCCAACAAAATGCTCAATGTCATTCAGACACACATATTACGACGGTTCATTCGCAATGATGTTGAATATGATTACACCACCACAGCCCATCCGGCACATGTGGCACCACCAGTGTCCGGTAAACCCCAAGGGTTCAGTAAACACCAAAAACACTAACATGACCCGACATACCACAAAAAACAAAACCACATTCAACCACAGAACCAGCCAGAGACACCAAAATATAAACATGTCTAGACGACAAAGCCTCTTTATTGCTCATACCATTGGCACTTAAAACCTGTGCATCATGTGGGCAGCTCTGGTGTTGGCCTCTGCTGGAATTGCTTGCGGTAAATAAACGCACAACCGATATCGTCATGCTGACAATACGGAGCGGCTCATTAGCAAGATAATAAACCTATCTTCCTATTAGGGACGCAACGACGGGAAGCGCGGCTATGGTAT